TTAAAGAAAGTAATTTTTTTGTAATATCAAATATATTAGTGTAAATTTATCAAATATATAAATATCAAGCTATAAAAGTTATCATAAATTATTTTCTTAAAATGGCGAATGATTATTCAAAACTTACCATATATAAAGACTTTTTTATGAATGATTTTAGATTTAATTAATGCATACAATCATCATTGACGTGTCAAAAAAACTCCACGTAGGCATTCCACATGTGAAGTTCTGGTGATCCAAGTTTGAAATATTATATTAAAGGATATATTTTTTATAACTAAAAAGGAATTTTTATACAATCTTTTTTTAATTATGAAATATTATAAAATAAAGGTTAAGTAGAATTGAACAAAAAGCACCTTAGCTTGGATGGTTAGGAACTCAACTAAATGACTAAGAGATCTTGGGTTCAAACCCCCATGTTGGTATGCTATTGGAAAAAAAATTGCAAACAAAAAAAATTGGTTTGACTGGTTTGACCGGCTGGTTCACACTGGTTTGAACCGATTTGAAGCTAAATGCACCTTAGCTTGGATGGTTAGGTAGAATTGAACAAAAAGCACCTTAACTTGGATGGTTAGGAACTCAACTAAATGACTAAGAGATCTTGGGTTCAAACTCCCATGGTGGTATGCTTTAGGAAAAAAATTGCAAAGAAAAAAAAAACTGGTCTGACTGGTTCGACCGGCCGGTACACACCGGTTTGAACCGATTTGAAGCTAAATGCGGTCCATAGGACTAGACCACCGGCCGCGGTTCGAACCAGCCGGTCCGGTCCGGTTTTCAAAACTATGCATAATTGTCTAAAGGGATTTTCTCCCATGCCTCTTTATTTGAGAGGGCATGGATGCCCTTCCACTATTATTTTAACATGTGGATTATTTTATACCTAAGTTTATGAGCATTAATTTTATCAATTAGGGAGTATATTCTATAATATCCTTCGTCCTTCCCGCATTCTATTTTTTTTCTTAAACTTAGTTATGTTTTTTGTTAAAAAGGTAATAATTTGAATTTATACTCCTTTACTTTTCTGAATTTTTTATTTATTTTTTATTGAAACACATGAATCAGTACATGAATATATTTTTACACTTTAACCTTGATTAAAGTCTTGAATCTAGACTCAAGAGTCTGAAATCTAAATTATGGCAATCAAGTTAAATACAATACTAGTATAAAATAGATTTCTGTTATTTAAATATTTATATTAGCATATGAATAATAAAAATTTCTATCCTTATTTTACTTTACTTATTTATTATTTATGGGGTGAAATTTTTATCTTTTTTATTTATCATTTTTATCATGAATTTGATTATAAATTATAGTTTAAACCAGAATTACTTTATTACTAACTTGTTATTATATCAATTTTTTATATAATTATGCATAGATAATTAATTTTGTATTTATCAATTTCCACCACGCATATATATTTTATCAATTTCAATCATCTTCGATGGAGCTAATAATTAACTATTCTCTGCGTCCATAAATAAAATTTTCATTGCGCGTTACGATATTTGTCTAAAGTTATTTTTTAATTATTTTATATGAAAAATGGTATGGAATTAATAAAATATTTATTTAAAAGCTACATGAAAAAAATCTAGAAAATTAGAAATGACATGACTATATTAATTTATCAAGTGAAATATGCACTAAATAATACTAAAACATATGTCATTTTCCAATGTAGTACTTAAACTTTTTTATTCTCTAAATAGTACTTGAATAATGTTCAGTGACAGAAACAATGTCCAGTGATGGTGGACATTTAGTTTGAACGATGTCTAGTGGCAGTGGGCATTTACTTGAACAATGACCAGTGAATGAATAAAGTAAGATAGATCTCTAAATTTTTTGTGTTTATTTAATTAATAAAATAAGAGTTAGTCAATCAATGCACCTTTCGATGCTAAGTCGGGGTCTCTTTGGAAACCACCTCTCTATTTTCAAGTAGCGGTAAGCTAAGGTCTGATACACATATTCTCCCCAGACCGGCTCTTGTTGGATTCAAATGGTTAGTTGTTGTTTATGTCATTTTTTAATAAATAGAATTATAATTAATTTTAGTCAAATATATTAAATCTATATTGATCAAGAAAAAAGAACAGATGAACTTGTATTGTTAGTTTTTAAAAATTAAGTTAAAAAAATATTTCATAAATCAATAAAAGAGTATGAAATTAAACTTACAAAAAAATTTAGAAATTACATTATTTGTTTGATACTTGATCAAAGAAATAAAGAAAACATATTATAAAAAGTATATAGAAATAAAACTCAACTTAGGAAAAAATGGAATGAAAAATATTAATTTAAGAAAAATTATACCGAGAATTGTAAAAGATGAGTGTGCTTTTATTTGAAGTGAGATTATTAGAGAGTATTAATTAGGCATTAACTATTTGTACACATGTCAAAATAATAGTGGAAGGGCATCTATGCCCTCTCAAATAAAGAGGCATGGGAGAAAATCCCTTGTCTAAAAGGTTGACACATCAGCTCTGCCACATGTTGCGTCTTAGCTCTACCAAATGTCACGTTCTTATAGCTCGGAGTCTTCTTTATATATATAAAGGATAAAGGATTTTCCCAAGTTGTACTTTTTTCTCGAGGCACTTCCAATTGTTGTTTTATACTCAGTATTATACTATTATTATAATTTAAAAAAAAGACACAACAAAACTTGTGATTTTTTATAAATAATTAAGTGAAAATGTTATTTGAAAAATAACATTACAAGTCATGAAAATGGCACAATAAGGCCCCGTTTGGTACATGGAATTCAAACTATGGAATTGAAATTGAGAACATCAATTCAAATTCTAATGTTTGGTAGTACAAAAATTATGTAGATTTGGAATTGGTAGTGCAAAAAATGAATTGGAATGGTGAATTCCATTTTATGGAATTGAATCTCATGGAATTTTAATTCTAATTCAATTCCAATTTCATCAATTCTGTATATCAGACGGGCCCTAAATGTTTCTCCGACATGGAAACTATTACTTTTATAACTCATTATATTTTTTTGCATTGTAATTTTTTTATGAGCAATACTCTGAAATATTTGTCGATAATCAATTATTACTCGTATTATTTTTTCCAACACGGTACTACGAAACTTGTGAATTGTTCTTTATAATTCACTATAATGGGATAATACTTTTTAATCCAAAACGGCACTAATTATTTTTATAACTCACTATAACTTTTTTGTATTGCAATTTCTTTTTCAAGCGATACTTTGATTCATTTTTCGGTAATCCAGTATTATATTTTTAAAAAAAAGGTGAAACAAATCTCTAACATGAGTGTACTGCTATATTTTTATAAACATAAATTTAGAATTTAAAACTAAAAATCGAAAAAAGAGAATTTTCCTAAAAGAATAACATCTTTCATTTATTTGAAAAAAACAGACATTTTCTAAAAGATCAGTTAAGTAGTTAAGTGGTTGTTAGCTTCCAAATGGCAAGCCAAAACTCGTACGCATGCAAAAAGGTGAGATTATTTATCATGACAGTGAAAAGTGACATTATTTTTGGAAAAGCGCAAAAAGATGGGCTTACTTAAGATAATTTTCCCTATTTTATACTTTATTTAAATTGATTATTTGATAAAATAATAAATCTATTTGGCAATAGTTTGGTATTTGAAAAAGGTGATTTAAGGAAATATTTAACTTTAGTATTTTCAAAGTTAATTTGCACCATTAAAAAATATTTAAAACGCTAGCGTTAATTTAAAAAGATGTTCCATAGAAGACTCATGATATGTAACTCTTTGTTTTGTTTTATGTAGTTTAATATACATAAGAAAAGTCTATTTTTTTATTTAACACCAATTTGTAAAAAAAATATTGAGTTGAAAATAATTGTAATCAAACATCATAAACCACATATAATAGAACACTCTAAAGTGTGTTGAGACTTGCACATATGCCCACTACAAAATTGCAGGTGTCAATTATTCAATTTTAAAATATTAACATCGCAGATTGGGCGCAAATTATGCCATACAGCTGGCTGTACAGGAAGAACCGTACAGCCGGCAATTAATTAGGGCGAACAGAGGAACTGCGGCAAGAAGAACGGACGAATCGATCGGCCATGGAGGTTGTGCGATGGGACTGGTTGGATTCCCGATCAGCGATTTGCAGATAAAGGTCCAATCGGCGATTATGGAGGTTGTTTGGAATTCCGATCCGCAATTGGACGATGAAGTCTTATTAGCTATCTGAACGCTGCTTGATCTGCGAAGATCTGGTCTTCCAGTTGCTATGGTCTTCGGCTTCCTAAAGATCTTTTCCACTTACCAGATTTCAACTACATATGAATAGTAAGTTGTTTAAGATTGAGTACTAGGTTATATGAAAATGAGTACTACGAGGCTTTAGAATGAATATTATGTTATTCGTAAATGAATATTAAACAAATTTGTGAAAATGAGTACGTTGTTATTTCTGAATGAGTATTGTGTTATTTCAGGATGAGTACCACGTTTTTCAAATGAAACATTATGTTTGCACGAGAATGAGTACTACTTTACTCTGGAATGAGTACAACATGGACGTACTTATCTCTAGGTAAATCCGGATGTAGGTATTTATGTGATTTTTTCCTTTACAAAATAAAAAGCTAGGTATGAAATCTTGTGGAGTTCTAATTCTCTTAACTTCTGGTGTGTTTAGATGATTCAAAATAAAACTTCAGAGTATCGGCGTTAATTTGGTCATTTCGGAGCATTCGTGTAAAATCAACAATTGGGAGTATGAGTTTGAATTTTTCCATTAATTAAATATGTGAATAATGTAACATAATTTAATTGTATAATAACAATTATTTAAATATAGACAAATAATATCATTATTTTCAATATTTTTATGATCTAATCTGAATGGATCTGGTCTGAATTGAATGAATCTGGTTTGATACCATATAATTTGATCTCAATAAGAATAAGTAATAAACAAAAAAAGTTGAACAAAACACAATGTAACCTTATTCCATAAGAAATTTTTGCTAAGAATATGCTGTAATGTACTCTATAATACATAGAGTTGGGTTCAAAACAAATCCCAAAATAGAAGAACTATTATTGCAAAACAACAAGAACAACCCAATAAAGTCCCACATGTGGAGATTGACAATCCCTCTTAATTAAACACTCTCCAAAAATGGAGTTACAATACTGAATACTATATGGGCAGCCACTGCCAAAAATGACTATACAAAGATACTTGTAAAACCAGAGATGTATATATCTACCAATTCATCCATTATTTGATCTCAATGGCATTCTCGACGTTTGTGGCAGGTAACTTGTCATTGAGCGCACGACCCTTCGTCTCAAAGGGGAAAAAGATAACACAAACGCCGGATATGAAGATGATAAACTCAAAGAGCCAAATGGCCAGCTCCTGATGGCACCCGTGTATCAGCCCAACTGCGGCTATAGGACACACTATCCCTCCTATCCTTGCCACCGAGCTCGCGATTCCAAAACCTGTGGTCCTAACTGATGTTGGATATACCTGCACCAGGATTGGAACCATGTCTATTATGTGTTTTTTTAAGACAAATGTCTCTCATTTAAGAAGGTTAATGTTTCTCTCTACTACACTAGACTGTCCACTGCAAAATTTGTGGTAAAAAAAGATAAGCAAAACCAATTCCAAGCGCCTTCTTATTGCCCTATTGAGTCCCTCACTTTTATTTCAGTCTTTTTTTATACATGGCGTCATTTGGTCGTCCTATAGGTAATCCACCTAAAAAACACAACAATGTATCATATTTCATTTTTTCATCATTAGAATCCTAGTTCTCTACAGACAAGGTAACAACGCAACAGCAAAAACTACACCAACAGAACCCTTATCATCTAACTTCAAAAGTTGATTCGTTTTAGGGTTTTGGCACAATTTATTCGTGTTTCTAACATGGAATACGGGACTCCCAAACAAATAGTTTTTTATGTAATGTACTAACGAAAATATTTGATGAGGTTCTTAAAAGCAGTGAAAATGTGATACTCTAAAATCCTTTTAACAGCTCATAAGATCATCTATCGTGATTTATAACACAAATTTAATATTAGACGGTTCAGTGCATTGGACCAAATATCTGCTTTTCCCAAAAGGATTCTCACATACCTCTGGAGCATATATATACACAATGGTGAAGGTTGCGGTGATGCATGTTCGAGCTCCAAACAGAAGTGCTGTTGTTAGACCTTTGGACTGAGGGTGTATGAGAGGGAGGATGAAAATGCAGCACACAAAGAACAGAAATGACATGGATCGTTTACGGCCGACTCTGTCGATCATTACAGCAGATAGGATAAGCCCCGGGATCTCTTCAAGTAGTAAACCAAAGGAAAACAAGTGGGCTTCATTATGATGAACTTAGGATAATTTTGCTCTTCAAGTGAGCCGATAGGAACAGTAAATGTTACCATACATATCATACCTGCAAAACTAGTGATGAAAACGTCTCGGTAGTCAATAGCCTCAGAATTCTTGGACTTAAACTCCGAAGGGGAGCATTTATGTTGACCAGTGTTCAGTTGGGTGGTCAGGAGAACAAGGCCGTAGTATGAGAATGCATTGCCAAAGAAAACTACCCACAAGAGAAGAGTTGATCTGGCTAAGTTTGGTGAAAGAAGCATGATCAGTGAAGAAAACCATCCTGTAGTGCACTCCACCAGTTTAGACTTCACACTTTCATCTCCATTACGTGATAGCAAATGTTTGTCTTCTGTCGAAGTGACTTGTCTGTCAGAGAGAAGAACTCCTGGCGGGAGTGTTGCTTTGTTTATTCTTGCTATTTTTTCAAGAATACGTAAGGCTTCTGCTTGTCTCCCCTTTGTGCACAAATACCTCGGAGACTCTATAGTGAAGCTGTAGAACAAAAGAAGCAAGGAGGATGGTATGGAGGAGAGTGCAAGTAGCCATCTCCAACCCAGTCTTGGCATGACTATCTGCAACAATAAACAGAACTCTCTAAATATATATGGATTCAGCTACCAAAACAAAGTATCTTCTACTTTCAATGGGGTTTTGGAAGCGACGCATTTTGAATTTGATGAGAGCTAATATAACCATTGTTCTAAAAGCATCAATTAAGGGTGAGGCGACATCAACCACATGTATTTTTTCCTTTAAAAGAAAAGCCGACTCTACTTCCAAGTGGGGGTAAGGTTTGCATACACACGCCTACCCCAGATCTTACTATTGTGAGACTTTACTGGGTTTGTTATTGTTGTTAAAAAAAGAAAAGATGAGATAATTTATCAAACCCTCTTCAAATCTACTTTACCAAATATAAAGTAAAAAACATCATATACATTTATTTTCTTTGGAATTTTTTTTACAAGGATATTTATTTTCAAGAAATTCCTTCCTAGCAAACACTCCCTGAGAGAATCCTGAAATAGCATACCCATGCTACTGAAGACTCAAAAATGGTGCCAACGGTCCAGAAAGCTGAGAAAACAACCATCCAAGTGCCTCTATTTGGAGCAGGAATGAACTCCAAGAACCAAGATGAAAGGACAGGGCCCCCACCCAAGCCAACCCCAACCAGACACCGCATGATGATCAATACTGTTATGTTTGGCGAAAAAGAACTTGCTAAGCCAGCCAGAGCAGTGATCATTGCTGTCACGAAAAACCCATTCCTGATAAATAAAAGAGAAGAAGAGACATATAGGAGGAGGAAAATGTGGGGGCATCATAAGACACAGTTTCAGCCATTCATTCAGAACTTTCATTTCTCGCTAGTACACAACATTGGGTAGTGGCAGAAAAGGCCTTAAGAAAAACATTAATAAAGTTGGGTTCACAAACTGAAAGCAAACTAAGCTTTTTCCCACACAGTGTTGTCGACGAAATCAATCTTTCATTAGATTGATATAAAAATACAAACAAATATATAAGACACTTGACTCCTACTCTTATAGTGTAGGATGCAACTTAAACACTAACAACAACGACCCAGTATAATCCCAACTCAATTGGGCTCTGGGTGTCAAGATGTACGCAGACTTATCTCTGTAAAAATAGAACATATTACGGTGTATTAAGCTCAAAGAATGCCTAAAAATAGAGCACGTGGACTTCGAACTTGGTTTTGATAAAATGAGCAACCATCATGCACGCGTGCAAGTAAAAGGGATAGACAGAAAGAGAAGTTGTGACCAAAGAGTTACCTCCTTCCGTAGTTGTCGGAAACAATACCCCAAGTGTAGGCTCCGGCCAACATTCCAACAAAAACCATACTGGTTAGCAAGGTTTCTTGATGAGGAGTAAGATTCCAAGAAGAGCGAACAGCGGGTCCCACAAAAGAGAGAAGCATCATTTCCATGGCTTCAGATATCCAACCCATCCCGGCATAGATTAGCACAAGAACTTGGAATTTCCCAAATCCCATTGTGACAAGTGCTTCCTCCACTGTATACCCATTCCTCTCACCATCCATCTGCAGTACAGAATTGTATGACCATGGTTAGTCTTTATTATCTAAAGAAACTTACAAGCAGATAAAAAATGACCAACAAATAAAGGGCCTCGGTGGCAGTTTGACTAGCAGTTAGTGGTTAGAAATTTTTTATAAGTATGTCTGATAACTAAGCAACAACAACAATAACCCAGTTAAATCCCATAAAAGTAGGGTCTGGGGAGGGTGTGTGTACGCGGACCTTACCCCTACTTGAAAGTAGAGAGGCTATTTCCAAAGAGACCCCTGGCTCAGCGTTGAAATCCACCTTGCTTTATTCCATTACACCCAAAGCCAAAAAACAGTGAATTTATTGCTACATGGGAGATGATGGAAACATGTCTGATAACTTAGCAGAATGCTAAAAATAAAATGCTAATATCAAAATTGTGTTTCTCAAAACGCCAGTCCTATTACCAATTTCAAATTAGCATTTTGCTCAGCAAATCACCTATTCAAAATGCTAAATTACCAAACAACTCAATTTGGGATAATTGGGACAGATTAAAGCGCCCAAGGGCATCATCGAGTATTCATATAAATTCAAATTCGTCATGCAGATGAACGAAACAGAAAAGGAAAAAAAAAGAGGAACACGAATTTATATAAATGTATACTCCGTAATCCGTATATATATAGTACATATTACAAGAATAAAAATCAGCAGGAAAAAAGGGATGAACGAACCTGGTAAAGATCAGACGGATTCCCAGTAAAGAGGAAGAAATGTGATGCTGTTGCTTGCTTGCCTTCTTCTTCTTCAGAGGGAATCGTTCCGGAGGATCGGAGTCAGCTTAAATCTACAGATTTTTTGGGATCTCTTTTGTTTGGTAGAACAGTTGATTTTAGCTTTCGGCTTACATTTTTGTTTTTATGACTACTTGTTCATTCCTCCTCATTGGTGGGGGGAACAAATGATAGAAGTGGTGGGAGAACAAATGTTGAAAAGTGGGTATATCCACTTCCTCTTCTTTTTTTACGGGATAAATGATTAAGAGAGAACCTATATTTTACATTCGGGTATACCTAGAGGCTAGAGCTAGATACGTTTAGTTAATATTTATTTTGAATTAATATAATATTTATTTTGAATTAATATAATATTTATTTTGAAGTAATGTAATGTTCATTTCAAGCCTGCTCAGTGTAATATGTTCCTTCTGAAATAACATAGTGTTTATTTTGAAAATAACATAATGTTCATTTTAAAACATTTTTAATTACAAGTTTGTCATGATATCGGTATATCCGGTTGTACTATATAATTTGCATGATTGAGATATTTTTTCATTAATAATTCATGATAACAAAAAGAGTTAATTATTGCAATCACAATTTTTCATTTATTTAGCTTATTCTATAGGCAAAGAGGTTATTCTTATCATTATTAGAAATCTTTGTTTCTTTCGTCCTACCCTTCTTCTTAGCATACTCCACGGGGTGTCATGATTTTAGGTGCTTGTTATTTATGTCTTTCTTATAGTGAAGGCAAGTTGCCCACCAGACGTCGTTTTTCTTTTCTTTTTTAAAATGATATCTAAATAAATCAAACTCAAGTTTTTTACCTCCCCGTTCTCGCGGAGGTCTCTGACTCCTCGTCCTCCTCGTCGATTGAACTCATGAGATTCGTGTCACGACGTGGCTACGACTCTAAATACTCGAAAAACTCTTGGTCATTCATGACATCGTTAAAATACTCTTCAGGAACGCCGGAGACGAAATGCCTCGATTGGAAGACTTGGGGCTTGAACCGTCGGACGTAGTGGTGAAATAACGTTTCTTTAATTTCTTTCTGATGGCTATAAACCACCGAGAATGAAGAATAATAAAAGTTTTAGAGAGAGAGAATGCAAAGTAGAAGTTTATTCGTTCTAAACTTTGGTCCGTTACAATGAGGGGTCTCGCCCCTTTTATAGGAGATACATTACATATGGTCAAAGTCCTCTGATCGAGGCTCGTCGCCTAGCGGACGTCATCTCTGTCATGAGTTGTCCTTTTCATCCTATCGCTCTCGCACAGTCAACGCGGCCAATCGCTATCCGCCGGTCGCCATCACGTAGGTCGTTGTCACGGAGGTCGCTGTCCCGTAGGTCGCTGTCCCGCCTCTAGCCGAGCCCATGAGGCGTGCCGAGCTCACAGGGCGAGCCGAGCTCATGGGTCGAACGGGGAGCTTCCACGTGGCTGCTAGGGTCCGGCTGACGTGTCCTTCGGAGCTATCCTCCATCACAAGCCCCCCACTCTCCGGGTTTCGTTGCAATTGGCGATGAGACACGAGAGAGTGTAGGTACTGTAGGAAAGCGGCGCGGGGGCCCACGTGGAAGAGGTTGGCAGGCCACTGGTGCCGTTTGGGCTTCCGCCATCATGAAGGGGCGCGCCTTTTCGCCTCCCTAGGCCAAGTGGCGGCCCATCGTTGCACCCATTCAACCCTTCCTCTATAAATATCAACCCCACCCCTTTCATTCCCCACTTTAGAGAGAGAAAGTAGGGGATTTCTTTTGCCGTCACTAGCCTTCTCACCGTCGTTCTCGTCCACCTCCTGGCTCCGTACTAGGTTAGTCTTCCTCGTCCTTGTTCTTCCATGTCTTCCCAATCCTCCATCTTTCGCCAGTCCGAGCCCGAGCGCGCTGCTGAGGGCTCTGTCGCCGGCCCCGCGCAGGAGAGCGACTCCCGCTCGCCCTCCGTCGAGGAGATAGCCGAGGCGGTCGAGGTCCCTCTCCAGTCCGAGCCTCGTAACCAGAGGCGGACCACTCTCAAGGACTCGGGGATCCGAGCGCAAAGGTGCACCCTTACTCGGGAGGAGTACCGCAAGGCGAAGCGCCTAGCCTCGGCGCTGGGCGTTACCGTGCGTCGTCCCACTTCCGAACAGTCAGTCTTTGATGCTCCTCCGGGTTGCTTCGCCATCCACCTCAAGTCCCTTGAGTACGGGTTCCGCTTCCCCCTCCATCAGTTAGTCATAGATTTTTTCCTCCATTTTGATTTTCTCCCTTGCCAAGTCGTGCCCAAATCCCACCGCTATTTGGCGGGATTTCTCATTCGTTGCCAAGGGACCGGGGTTCGCCCCGACCTGGCCCGTTTCTTGCTTCTCTTCTGGTTGGCGAAGTCGTCTGGCCGGGCGAACTCCGACTCGGGCTCGTATGCCTCAATATTCCAAAGACAGGAGAAGCTCTTCAAGACGAGAAAGGACTCCGCCAAGAGTTGGAAGGGGAAATTCGTCTTCGTTTCTCTTTCCTCGGGCTCCCCTTTTCGTAAAGAACCCCTCAGCTCCTTTCGCCGTCGCTCCGCGTGCGTCACCTCGGACAAGATGCTTGAGGACGTAGAGACGCTCTGCCGAGGGGGGCCCTTCGAAGTCGGTTCGATAGTAACGAACGATGCTTTAGCGGCACTCGGCTTCGTCTTTCTATCCCCGGATGATACTCAGCGGAGCATCGAAGAAGGCCCCTCAGGTCAGTGCAATCTCTCCTCCTCGGCCATCCGTGGGTCGCGACTACCTCGGATTCCCCCGCGTCGTTCTTTTACGGCTAAGTCCTCGCCTCATCGCTTGTCTTTTTTGGTTTGTGCAGGTGAAATCATGCTCTCCAGCGCCGAGCGACTGAAGCTCATGTTCCCGGATGCCCCTAGCGGCAACTCCTGGGCTCCTACCGTGGCTGGTCGTCCTCCGATTCCCCCCGTGAAGCCAACCCCCGAGGCGGCCCAGAAGAAGAAGAGAAAGGAGACGGCCTCGGCCAATGATACTCCCCAGGGGTCCGAATCCCCGATGATGAAGGATTTCGGCCACCCGAAATATGTCAAGGCGGCCTTCCCTGCAGGGGTCTCCTTTCTGGATCGGGACTACGACCCGGAGACCTTTCTGCGTAGCTTGACTCCTCTCACCGATCGCGCCAAAATCCAGGACGTCGACCGGGAAACTCTGGCCTCGGATATGTTTCACGAGATGGGCTCGGTAAGTTTCCCTAGCCATACTTTATAAATGCAACTCTTCTACGGCGCTCACCCCTTGTCTATCTGCAGGCGATGATGCGCATGGTCGACATGAGCCAGCGGCTGCGCACTAACGAGGCCGACCGGAGCAGGGCTTATGTTGAAATAGCTGACCTCAACGAGGCGCTAAAGGCGGCCAAGGAGCAAGCTCGCCAGGCCGAGGAGCGGGCCCAGCAGCTCGCGGAGGAGGCTGCTCGCAAGGCGCGCCAAGAGGCTCGCGATCAGGCTGTCGCCGAGTTCCTAGCATCGGATGCGTTTCAGGAGGAAACCTTCGCTCGCATGAACGATCTGCTCAAGGCATGGGGGCAGACTCCTGAGGGGAAGGCATTCGCTCACTCCGAAGGGACGTCGTGGTACAACCTCGGTTTGTTCCGAGCGCAGCAGGTCCTTACGGACAGGTTCCTCACCGGGGAGGACTTCCCCGAACCATGCGACCATCCTGATGAGCTCGACACCTCCATCTACTACACGAATGGCGGGAACCCAGCCGGCGAGCAGCCGAATGCCGAGTGATATGACTTGGAGCTTTGTTGTATTTGATGTAATGGTGCTCAAAACTTCGTTTTTTTTTGAATTCGGATATGCTATGACTTGATGCTTTGTATGGATGTGCTATGACCTTCTCTTTTGCCTTTAATTTTATTCCTTCGTCGTTTCTTTTAACTGGTGTGCTCGCCCATTCCCGTCCGACCTGAGCTCGGCCACGCCAAAGAGAGGTCACCTTGGGACATGGTCCCTTTTCTGTCCCCTCGTTATCCGAGACAACCTTGGGTCTTGGGACCTTTTGACCTGCCATCAGTTTGACCGTCCCCACGCTGCCACGTGTATCGTCCCCCCTGGGCAAGATGCCTATATAAGGGGGGGTCCCCATAATTTGTTTGCACTCACCCTTGGATTTCTGCAAATCTTGCCATGCCGCGCTCGGCACCCACTCCTCCCGATTCCAGTGAGATGCGAGGAGAGACGCTCTCTTTCGGCAGCTACTCCCTCGGGGGCTCTTCTGCTGTTCCGACCAAGTCAGGGCCGAGCTCGACACCGCCGCGCTCTCTGCGGGACTCTTGGGACTCGGACCCTGAATCCGAGTCGGTACCCCACGATCCTTCTGCCAAGATCCCGGGGTTCATCTACTATTCGTCGGAGGAGGACGAGAAGACCCCATCTCCGCCAGTTCCGCCGATCCGTCGTGAGGTCGTCGCCCCTCCCGTTCCTGCCGGCCGCGGTGGCCGAGCCCGCCGCCCTCCAGCTCCTCCCGCAGCGGTTCCGAGCGAGAGCTCTGTGGCATCCCACCATCCGAGCCGGTGCTTCCCCGAAGACCCAGGCTCGCCCAGCTATGACGAGTCCACCGGGCACTCCGTCACCAGTCGGGCTCCTTCACCTTCTTACCCCCCACCCTGTACTTGCAAGCGGGGGTGGAATTGTGGCACGCACTGAAGTCTATCCGTACTTTAATCGCAAGGTGTTTAATTTTTGTAAGGCGCTTGTGCCATGTATTTGCCCATTTTCCGGGATGAATAAAATTTGGATTTGATTAAGTCTTTTTCGCTTTTCGCCATTAGAAAGGACTGCACTCGGCTCTTCCCCTGAGGGGGGAGTGCCGAGTACGAGGGTTAGACCTTCGTCCGGGAAGAGCATCCAGACACGGTCTGCGCTCGGCTCTTCCCCTGAGGGGGAGTGCCGAGCACGAAGGTTAGACCTCCGTCCGGGAAGAGCGTCCGGACATGGTCTGCGTTCGGCTCTTCCCTTGAGGGGTAGCGCCGAACACACGGGTTAGGCCTTTGTCCGGGAAGAGCATCCGGACATGACCTGTGCTCGGCTCTTCTCCTGAGTGGGAATGCCGAGCACGAAGGTTAGACCTTCGTCCGGGAAGAGCATCCGGACATGGTCTGCGTTCGGCTCTTCCCTTGAGGGGTAGCGCCGAACACACAGGTTAGGTCTTTATCCGGGAAGAGCATCCGGACATGACCTGTGCTCGACTCTTCTCCTGAGTGGGAGTGCCGAGCACGAAGGTTAGACCTTCGTCCGGGAAGAGCATCCGGACATGGTCTGCGCTCGGCTCTTCTACTGAGGAGTAGTGCCGAATACGCAGGTTAGGCCTTTGTCCGGGAAGAGCATCCGGACACGGCTTGTGCTCAGCTCTTCTCCTGAGGGGGAGTGCCGAGCACGAAGGTTAGACTTTCGTCCGGAAAGAGCATCTGGACACGCATGTTAGACTATTGCAAAAAATCCCACTTCATTGAATTCAATCATGGTGTTGCGGGTTCCCTTTCTCGGGCCCGTGTACATTCGAAATTCATTGATAAAACTTAACCAAGTTCTCAGCATTCCAAGTCCTTGGCACATCCCCTCCACTCGGCGTCTGCAGGCGGAATGTTGAGGGGCCTACCACTTCTTTGATGATGTAGGGGCCTTCGTAATTCTTGGCAAATTTCCCACCTTCCAGGGGGCGGCTCACGGACCTCTTGCACAGCACCCACTCTCCTTCGGTGAACCCCCGTGCGCGCACACGCCCGTCATGGTAGCTCTTTACCTTCCTTCGGTAATTCTCCGCTCGTATGAAGGCCGCTTCTCGTCTCTCGTGCACGAGATGGAGCTCGGCTGCCAGGGCTTCGTCGTTACGCTCGGGGTCGAAGATCTCCTCCCGGTGAGTCGCGATGGAGATCTCTGCAGGGGCCCTTGCCTCGAACCCGTAGCATAAGGCGAAGGGGGTTTCTCCGGTCGCCCTTCTAGGCGTGGTCCGGTAGGTCCATAGGATGTACGGCAACTCCTCTTCCCACTCCCCTCCGCAGGCCTCCAACTTCCGCTTCAGCCCGTCGACTATCGTTCGGTTGGCATTCTCGACCTGGCCGTTCGTTTGTTGGTACCCGACCGACGCATAGCTGTGCTTGATTCCCCAGCTCCCAAGGAAGTCGTTAAAGGGCTTGGACTCGAATTGTGTTCCATTGTCTGTGATTACGTGCTCGGGAACGCCGAAGCGGCAGATGACTTGCTTTGCGAGAAACTTCTGGCATTGAGCTCCGGTGATGCTTGCCAATGGGGCCGCTTCCACCCACTTGGTGAAGTAGTCAATGGCTACAATGACGTAGCGCACGTTCCCGGTACCTCTAGGAAGCGCACCCACGAGGTCCACCCCCCACCGCGCGAACGGGATAGCTGTGCTGATGGGGGTATAGTTTGTNTTAAAGGGCTTGGACTCGAATTGTGTTCCATTGTCTGTGATTACGTGCTCGGGAACGCCGAAGCGGCAGATGACTTGCTTTGCGAGAAACTTCTGGCATTGAGCTCCGGTGATGCTTGCCAATGGGGCCGCTTCCACCCACTTGGTGAAGTAGTCAATGGCTACAATGACGTAGCGCACGTTCCCGGTACCTCTAGGAAGCGCACCCACGAGGTCCACCCCCCACCGCGCGAACGGGATAGCTGTGCTGATGGGGGTATAGTTTGTCGAAGGCCTCCCTGGTACCTTCTGGAACTCTTGACACACTTTGCACTTTCTCACAAACTCCGCGCAGTCCTTAACAATTGTTGGCCAAACATATCCTTGGAGGGTTATCTTCCTTGACACCGCGTAGACTCCTTGGTGGGCGGAGCAGATCCCCGCGTGCACCTCCTCCATGACTTGCTCCGCTTCAGCTGGTCGGAGGCACCATAGCAGCGTACCGTTGTATGCTCGCTTGTATAGCTTTTCGCCCTCCAAAGTGTACCCAGGTGCCCTAGTCCGGACCAACTTGGCCTTTATTGCATCGTCCGGGAGGGCGCCATCCTTCAAGAAGGCAACTATGTCGTCCATCCAATCTCTTGGCCGAACACAGATCATCGCCACGGGGAAGGCATGGATGCTCGGCTCGGACAACTCCTCCACGTTCGCCATCCGCCTGATGTGCTCGGGCGTGTCTGAGCTCAGCTTCGACAAGATATCCGCCTCGGCATTCTCCGCCCGAGGGATCTGCTCCACACTATACGCGGTGAAACTCTTAAGTAACTCTAGAGCGGTGTCTCTGTACTTCTTCATTCTTTCGTCCTTCGCCTCGAAGTCTCCCGAGACGTGGCCAACCACCAGCTTTGAATCACACTTTACCCTTAGCTTTGTTGCGTTCATCCCGGCTGCTAGGCGTAGCCCGCACAAGAGCGCTTCATATTCCGCTTCATTATTTGATGCCTTGAAACCGAATCGAATAGAGTAATATGCTCTGAAGCCTTCGGGCGCGATGACTACCACTCCACCCCCGAGTTTTTGGCGGCGGAGGATCCGTCGGTAAAAACTATCCACCAGTCGTCGGTTTCCGGCTCTTCGGGGCTCGGCTCCTCCCGAGCGGTGCACTCCACCACGAAGTCAGCTAGCGCTTGGCCCTTGATCGCTGGCCTTGGCTTGAATTCGATCTAAAAAGCTCCAAGGAACACCGCCCATTTGGACATGCGCGAGGGCGCGTTCGGGCTCCTGAGCAGCGCACCTATGGGTTGTTGGGAGAGCACTTGAACCGGGTGAGCTTGGAAGTAGGGTGTTAGCCGCTGCACAGTTGAAACCACTGCTAGGACCGTCTTTTCGGCTACTGAGTACCTGAGCTCGGCACCTCTTCGCCGTGTAATATACCGGGTGCTGAGCTCCACCTTCTTCTCGGACTAGGACTGAACTTAGTGCATTGAGCGACACTCCCAAGTAAAGATATAAGGTTTCCCCGGGCTCGGTTTAGCGAGGATCGGCGGAGAGAGGAGATAAGATTTCAGAGACTCAAAGGATTGCTGGCAGTCTTCCGTCCATACGAACCCTCGGGACTTCTTCACAGCTTGGAAGAATGGAGCGGCTCGATCCGCTACCTTGGAAAGGAAGCGGCTGAGCGCAGCCAACTTTCCGGTCAAGCGCTGCACCTCCTTGACATTTCGTGGAGCTTCCATGTCAAGGATGGCGCGCACCTTCTCGGGGTTGGTCTCAATACCGCGCCTGCTCACCATGTGTCCCAAGAACTTACCGCCTTGAACTCCGAACGTGCACTTCTTCGGGTTCAGCCGAAGGTTATACTTCTCCATAATCTTAAAAACTCCTTCTAAGTCTTCCGCATGGGTGGTTTCCTGCTTGCTTTTCACAATCATGTCGTCGACGTACGCTTCCATGCTCTTCCCGAGGACGGGCGCGAAGAGCTTGCTCACCATCCTAGCGTAGGTTGCCCCGGCGTTCTTGAGTCCAAAAGGCATCACCTTGTAGCAATAAACTCCGCCGGGGGTAGTGAAAGACGTCTTCTCTTCGTCTTCAGGGTGCATTCGGATTTGGTGGTACCCGCTGAAGGCGTCCATGAAACTCATGAGCTCGCAACCCGTCGTCTCATCCACCAGCTGGTCGATGTTCGGGAGTGGGAATGGATCCATGGGGCATGCCTTATTTAGGTCGGTGTAGTCCACACACATCCTCCATGTATTTCCCTTCGGAGCCAACACCACGTTCGCCATCCATTCCGGGTACTTAACTTCTCTGATATGCCCAATGCTTTGGAGGGTGGTCACTTCCTTGGAGACGAACTCCCTCCGCTCGGATGAGAGGAAACGCTTCTTCTGCTTTACCGGCCTAGATTCCGGGTTGACCACCAACCGGTGACATATGATCTTGGGGTCCACCCCCGGCATATCCCCAGGTCCCCATGCGAAGATCACGCGGTAGGCGGCGAGCACTTCCACCAAGCGCATCCGCTGGCTCGTCGTCAAGGTCGCCCCGACCTTAACCTTCCGCTCGGGCACTTGTGGGTCGAGCGGCACTTCCTCGACTTCCTCGGCGGGCTCGGCCGAAGGTCGAGCTTCCAGTTTGCGCATTCCCTCTTGTGCGTGTACGACCATTGTCTCATCCCTCGGCAACTTCTTCGTGATTCTTACGTAGCACGACCGGGCCAACTTTTGGTCTCCCCTTGCCACCCCGATGCCGGACGGAGTGGGGAACTTCATGCACAAGTAGTACGGGGAGATCACACATTCCAAGTCCTCAAGGTCGGGCCGCCCCAGGATCATGTTGTGCGCACAATTGATGCTCACAACCATAAACTCCATCTTCAGCTTCGCCTTGTGCACACCATCCCCTACTATCACGGATACGGCGATAACTCCCTCGGCCTCGATGGAGTCCCCCGTGAATCCGGAGAGAGGAGTGCGCACAGGCCTCAAGTCCTTGCGGTTCAAGCCGAGGTCTTAGAATGTTTTCTCGTACATTATATTGACTGAGCTTCCCGTGTCCACCAAGGTGCAGTGTACTATGGCGTCGTTGATCTCTATCTTTACGACCAAGGCATCCCAGTGGGGACTCGGCGTGTTCGGAAGATCCTTCTCCGCCTGCATATCCCAATCGTCAATGGTTCCCTTTGGGAGCCGGTTGAACCAATCGCACGCGGACCCCTCTAGCGTCGCGAGGAAGCACCTGCACTTGACCTCGTCTGGGGCTGCCGCCGCCTCCATTGAAGCGTAGAACTTTGACAAATGATCCTGGGGGTCCGTCGCCCCGCTGTAAGCCTTGATCTGCCACGGACGGAAGTTTGTCGGCAGCGGGACTAACATCACCCTCGGTGTAAACGGGGTTACCGTGCGCAAGATGGGCTGGTTGTAGGGGGACTTTGTCTCTACTCGGCGTTTGAGCTCGGCAATCTCGCGCGCAAGCTCAGTCATACCCCGTTCAGGGACCTTAGTCCTCTCGGTTCTGGATGGGCTCTGGCGACGCTCAGTTCGCTCGTCCCTTCGGCCTTCGGTTCGCTCAGGTCTCGCCGACCGCGCATCCGAGGTCGCTGATTCCTCACCGTTCCTCCGCCTACCCTCAGAGATCTGCCGGCGAAGATCACCTAGACGGCCTTCCGGTCCGCGGTTGAGTCGGTCGAATGCCGACACTCGGGTATCCTCGCCTCCCAAGCGTTTGAAGGCCGAGATTCTACACTCACTGGACTCATCGTCCTCCCCTTCTGGGACGTCCTCCACCAACACCTCCTCGATCAGCGGGCCCTTTCCGGGCCTCCTCCTGCTCCTCCGCGTCTTCTTTCCCTTGTGCTAGGAAGTGGCAGCGTGCTCGGTGTGGTGACCGAGCGGAGCCTTGCCAACCCCGGCGCCGGGTACGTTCCCGCCCATGGCGGAAAGTGCCGCAACGGCCGCCTGGAGTTGCTCCGTGGTCACCCCCAACCCGAACAGCGCTTGGACTGCGTCCGGAGTCGAAGCGATGCCACCCGTGCCGTTGCCGCTGCCCGGAGCGACCTCCTCGCCGCCGACGTGGCTGGTGGTGGGAACGTTGCTCCTGGTTTGCACCATTCTCGCGTTGAGGAGTTAACCTACGAGTATGTTCCTCAGCTCTCAATGAAAGCACCAATTTGATGGCTATAAACCACCGAGAATGAAGAATAATAAAAGTTTTAGAGAGAGAGAATGCAAAGTAGGAGTTTATTCGTTCTAAACTTTGGTCCGTTACAATGAGGGGTCTCGCCCCTTTTATAGGAGATACATTACATATGGTCAAAGTCCTCTGATCGAGGCTCGTTGCCTAGCGGACGTCATCTCTGTCATGAGTTGTCCTTTTCATCCTATCGCTCTCGCACAGTCAACGCGGCCAATCGCTATCCGCCGGTCGCCATCACGTAGGTCGTTGTCACGGAGGTCGCTGTCCCGTAGGTCGCTGTCCCGCCTCTAGCCGAGCCCATGAGGCGTGCCGAGCTCACAGGGCGAGCCGAGCTCATGGGTCGAACGGGGAGCTTCCACGTGGCTGCTAGGGTCCGGCTGACGTGTCCTTCGGAGCTATCCTCCATCACTTTTGATTCAAATTTCCCATACCAACGGACATTCTATGAGACATTTTTAATAATATATAACTTTATATAAATAATATAATAAGATTATATTATATTACTATAATATGAATAATAATAATAATATAATAACATATATAAATGATACTTCCTCTGTTCCAATTTATTGTGCATGTTTACTATTCACAGGGTCAAACTTCACTCACTTTCTTTACCTATTTTCGTTAGCAATTTGATAAAATAAAATACTATTGTCAATACTAGTTTTTTTAGATCTTTTGATGTAGCCTTTTAATATGTAATTTTTATTTTCTAATCCTATACCATTTGTCATATAAAATGATTTGAAAATAGTTTCAGTCAAACATTGTAAACCGAAACAGACACTATAAATTGGGACGGAGGGAGTATGAATTTAAATATATAAATATATAATACTTGTTGTAAATAAGTAATCCCTTAATATAATATTTGAGAGTTTGATTCCTAAGATTTTGACATGTGGCAATTTAGGTGTTCTAATTTGAAGACACGTAAGCAGTAGGACACGCGTAAGCTTCTGAGAAATAATCGGAAATTTCTTGCGCTTCTCTTCCCCTGCACGATTTGCGTCTTTCTTCATCGCCAAAACATCTTCTTCGCCCATTCGCCCAAATATGGCAAATTCAAGAAAGTAATGGTTCCCGGATTCTTCTCGGATTCTAATTCCGAAATCTACACCGTCAGGCTGTTAACCTTGATTCTTCCCGGATTCTTAGCGTGCTTGAAGATCCAGGTCATTCCCAAATTACATGTGCGATTCTAATATATTCATCTTCCACACCTATTTCGAGCCCTTCTCTACGATTTCACGAATTTTTTCGGTCAATTAATCGATTTTGAATCGTGTGTTGCCTAATAGCGAGATTCTTAAATTAATTTATATTCCTTTTCCGTTATTATGTTCGCCAGATCCCAAAAAAAAATTTCTTGCGGTAAATTCTACATATAGAATTTAGGCGTATTATTTTCCAGATCAATGTGCATGAAAAAGTATTGTGATTGAATTGCTACTAGGTATTGTTTCTTGAAATAATAAACAGCCTATATTTGTCTTAGATGTGCATCCTTTATTTCTAAACTCATTTGCTAAACCCTATGATGTATCAGGTGTAAGTTGGATAGCCACATGCTGTCAATGTATTGTTTCTAAACTCATTTGCTAAACCCTGTGATTTATATTGTTAGTATCTAAAATGTCAATATATTGTTTCAAGCTACATGTTGTCCAAACAGTGTTTAAAAGATGTATATTACAGAGTATTTTTACAAACTTACACACTCAGAAAAACAATCTTAACAGGCCAATAAGAACATAGTTGCTGCATGTTTTTACAAGAAATAGATTCTTCCTGTTTATACAAAATAATCTTGGAGACTATTTATTGAAAAATCAATCATAACTTAGTGCATGATTATAAAATCATACTTGCTGCCTGTTTAAGTAACTACAGACACTGCCGTATTATAATATCTTACCACTTGCTGTATGTGTATACTTCATTTTGTGTTACTTGCTTTGGGAATCTTCTAACACGAGTAACAAATTTGTATTGTTACTTCATAATTAGTTGTTGCTCACTAGAGTTGAGGCAATCGGGAAAATACTTGGTCAATATGCAAAAAAAAAAGAAAGAAGATAAAGGGAAGAAGTGCCAAAAAGAATGACAGGTGAATAAGCTTTAATAGGTTTTCAATTTTCTATGTTTTTACCTACTCTCCCAATTTTATGAAGTTATATTCATTTTTTAAAATAGGTTTTATTGACGATTTAGTTCATGTATTGTTTGATTTAAAATGACTTTGGGTTTATATGTATCCATGGAGCAAAAACTAATGATTTTGGCCTTGGTTAAGGTTGCTTCGATAGGAGATGATAGTATTCTGAAAAATGTATATTTTGCTTCACCGTTTTGAAGGTATCACGATTTAGATCATCCTAAGTCTTCAATTTCATATTTCTGCTATATACACAAGCAAGATGTTTTATGTGGCGGGAACAGTTTCACACGTTCTGAGTATTTCGCGACTTCAAACATCAGTTCAAGGCTTCATGCATCACAATATTAAAAACGGGTACTCTGTGTTAAAAACAGCCCCTACCTCTTAATATTTCACAAATCAATTTCATTCGCGTCCACCATCCTACCACTCAAGCAGATTGTGCAAGGAGAGTGCACGACCAACTGTAAGGTTCAAAACCCTAGCACACGGCACAACAATGAGCAGAGGTGACAGAGGAGGAACATCAATGGCCATCCTCCTTCGACACATATACCATGGAGCAATGATTTAAATGAAGAACGTCGCAGATCCAGAAACATGCATGTTCTTCTCAGAAAACTGGTATTTTTTCAACTTTCTATTTTGTTGAAGAAATAGAAAAATAAGATTTAGAGCGAGTATATGATTTTGTACAGGTATTTCCGTTACCTATTTGGCCCAAGTTGAAACAATGACATAATTATGGTTTAGAACTAATATATGATTTTGTCTATGTGGACTTTTAGTGGATTGCTTTATCTGCCAATAAAAATGTGTTCAATAAATAGTTTGCCGAGTAGGTTGTGTTGACGGTCGATATGGTTGATCCATTTGTTTTTATCGTTTCTTACATGTTTAGGGTCTTCAAAGATTTGAGAAAGAACTAAACTGTTTTACATCCTATTTCAATCGAAGGTCGTGTTATAAACCCATACTTGGAGCTTGATGTCATCCAATATACCGATAATGTAACAGGAATTCTCAAGCGGGAAAACTTAGCATAGTGTCAGTGGGCAATTGGCATATGCACCAGACGCACAATCTCTTGACACCACGATCTCACCATACAATTCTATTATTTCTATCTGTGTCTTAGATAAGGCCGACGCCTATTTCTATGAGCTATAGAAGCAAAGCGAGACGATTTTGATGGATACAGATTCCGGCAACAACGGTGCTTCTTTGCTTCTGGCAAGGTTTCCGGCAAGGTATGCTTCTTTAGAGAAATGCTTCCGGCAAGGTATGCTTCTTTTGAGAAGTGCTCCCCTACAATCAAAAAGTCCATTAATATCATCCAATTTGGGTATGGGGAAACTTACATTTATATGACTTCTCATCTTTCTGATTTAAAATTAGGTAAAGACGACAATACGGGGGTGTAGGATGTCCTTCACCAGGCTGACTCAGGTGTAGAATTTGCAATACAGAAACAAAAGGAACAAAACTAAACAGAGGTTGGACTTTAGTTCTTGACTTCTCCGGTTTCCCAATAGTATTTTCAATAGCATGCTATTTAAATTCTACCCCCAACCACCCAAATGCAATTGATCAAATTTGATGTAAGAATCCTTTGCGTTCTCCATTTTGCATTCTGGTGCTAGCATGATTGTCGGCTGGTAGTGTATTTTAAATTCATAACTGTATTCTTATGTATTTTAAATTCATAATTGTATTCTCATGTTGACTTATCTTTTCAACGTGTAGAAACGTAAAAAAAATCAAGGCGGTGGATATAATTTTCATTCTTTTTCTTTGTTTATGAAGTGGTGGAATAGGCAATTTGGATGCTATTAATGAGCTATGGCATTTGTTAACCCTGTAAATGTTAAAGATGCTATTGTTAATTTTCATGGTACACATACATCACAAAGCCATCAATATGCCTTTAAGATCTAACACCACCATATGCAAAGAAGATGTGAAGTTGGATAGCTAAGTGAAGGATCAACAGGTAGGTCACTAACACTCTGTTTGACAGCTAATGGAGACTCATCCTTTAATTCCTTATAATGATTTAGTGTTATTCATATACTTATATTGTATTTTTCTTAGCTTATGTTTAGCCTCTCTAGGTTGAACTCATAAGAGGGAACGAACAAATGGAAGAAATATTTTTCTTAGCTTATGTTTACCCTCTCTACGTTTGAACTCATTTGAATTGATTTTGTCATTAAACATACAGGTTGTGTTCTATGCTTTGCTCAGATCCAAAATTGGATTCACATCACTTTAAAGATGTTCTTGACGAAGTAATGGCAGCAGGTGAGATACTTTTGTTCATTGGATGAGATTTTTGAGCAAAAACTTTATTTAGGTGATGCACTAAATCTCTAAAAACACTAAGTTCTACCCATGTTCTATTGATTTTTTTGCATGAATTTAATGTTAACTAAATTAATTGACTATTCATTTCATTATAACCACCTCAATTAATTGAGGTTTCAAGTAACTTTGCACAAAAGCACAACTAACCTGGCCCTGCCATGAATTGTGTGTGTTTTACATCATCATGAGTTCCTTTTTTGCGTAACCGTAAGGTGTTTATTATAACTATCATCATGAGTTCCTTTTTTTGTGTGCCAGATTTTCTAAATCAGAGTTGTAAATCATCTGGTTGGATTCTGCTCAATTGTTTATCGTTCTCTCGAAGGATGATTGGTTCTACACATTTGACTTGATCATAAAGCTATGACCTCACCTCAATCAAGAAGTGGCTTTTAGATTTTATTGGACTGTGTATGAAGATGGAAAAGAGGAAAGGATCATGTTATAAAGATCATGATGAACAATGAGATGAGGCTTATAAGGTCAGTGGAAATGAGCTGTTTGATTGTTCAGAGGATGAAACTTTTTCTTTAGTTTGTGATACATCAGGAGAGAGTTTGGGTGATTTTGAAGACGATGATGAGTTGGAAGAGCTGAAGAATAAGAAGCAGAAAAAAAGTTGTGAGAAAGAATGATATGATACCAAAAGCATCAGGGAGATAGAAAAATGTAGTAAACCGGAGAAAAAGGAGGAGAGTCACGTCCAAAGCAGATGATGACAGTAGTGATGATGAAGATTTTATCCCGTTTGAGATCAACAATGTTGTGACACCAGAAATAAGGAAAAGAGTTGTATACGGAGGTGGAGATGATGATGATGATTATGATTATGACAACAGCGACGACGATGACNCCTAGATGAGATTGATTGTGCAGATGCTGAAGATGAAGACGAGCTGCCCACGGCTAGAGGTAAGAAAATTTTGGGCAAACCACAATTGCCAAAGGGAAACAACAATAGAGTGCAGAGGAGGAGAATATCAAAAGTTCCAAATAAAGCAAGGAAACCTCTAAAGCATCAAAGAAGAGCACTAGAAAGAGACCAAGAAAAAATATTGCACAAAAGGTAAAGAAGTGTGCACAGGAGAGAAGCAAACGGAGATTAATAGTGGCTTCTGATTCAGACTTTGTGAACTGTGAATCGTCTGACCCTGAATTCACCATCTCTGAAGAAGAGAGAGATCAAGATAGTACAGCGAATAAAATTTGTAGAGACCTAATGTATAAATCAAGGAGTCCACCTTCAAAGAATCCACCACGAGGAAAAAGCAGACAACCTCAGAAGAAGCGATCACTAAGAAAGGAGGAGGAGAAGGTAGTGATAGAGGAGATCAAGAAGAGTGAAGAAGTGAATCAGATTTGTGGAATTTGTTTTTCTGAAGAAGGAAAGAAGACAATCCGTGGAACATTGAATTGCTGCAGTCACTTCTTCTGTTTTGTGTGCATCATGGAGTGGTCAAAAGTTGAGTCTCGGTGTCCCCTCTGCAAGCAAAGATTTGTAACAATCACAAAGGCTGCAACTAAATCAAGTGTGGGATTCAATTCAAGGATTGCGGTGATTCAAGTACCTGAGCGTGATCAAGTTTATGTACCATCTGAGGAAGAGCTCGGGGATTATCTTGATCTATACGAAAATATTTTATGTACTAAATGTCAACAAGATGTGGGATGACACTCTAACACTATGTGTTTAGATTTATAAGGGCCTGTTTATTTTTAAAATCAAGTGTTTCTCTCTTATGCTTGCAGAAGTGTTAGCTACTTAGAATTTACTTAGAGCTTCTATGCTCTAACTCCTGCATTTTGGAAGCTAGACGTGGATATGTTGTGTGTGCATATATGATACGGAGTAGTACTACTTACTCCCTCCCTACGGAGTAATAATATTATTTATGAATTGATAGAAATACCCATATTGATTTTTTATGTGTTAAAATGAGCATGAAAAAGTGAGATCTAAATGATAGGTAGCTTTGAGTCAGTCCAAAATTGGAATATTGTGTATAAAAGAATTTTCAAATTTTGTATTTTTTTCCTGTGTTATTCGTATTAAACATTGTTTGATGAAAAATATTACAAGCATTAGTATTATGACTATTATCCCTGATAATAACTGTGTCAAGCGAAGTAGATTTACATATCTTGAAATCAATAGTGTTGACCTCTGTATTATAATCCCTCAATTCTAAATTTTTTTCTATTTTGATGTTTTTAGTCAAACAGTAAAAATTTTTTATCATAAATTAAACATAATATAAATAAATAAATCATAAAAAATTTGATATATCAAAATTATATTCTAAGATTAATCCAATTATATTGAACTTATATTATGATTAAATATATTTTTCTCAAAAGTTGTGATAAAAAAATGTCTGTTTGACCAAAAAAGTCTAATGTGAGAGATTTTTTTAGGACTATGAGTATATATTTTCCTTATTATTATATATTTATATGTGTAATATTCTTTTCGTGCATCGTCGGTGCAACTTCAAACCCATAAGAGAAGAGAAACATTGATCTGTCTTGTATTTCACGTGCCATTAATTTCAACGAAGGTAAAAACAACAATGGTCAATATATATTTATTACTATATTGAAATGAATAACTACAATACTTTTATTTTACTATGTTAATTCATAATACTATATTTTAGAGTTTGATTACAGATTTTGACGCACAACATTCTTCTGATCAAACAAATGCAATAGATTCATCAATTTGGTTTCCTATCTCTCGAGAATCAGAATTAAATTGCGTTATCTTAAACTAAACCATTTTATCTGATTCTTTTTTTCAAAAGATTGTCATGATTTTTGATAATTTTTTAATTTTAAATACTCGACATATTGAAATGAACTTATTTATGTACAAATTTGGATAATAGTGACGCAAATCCAAAGAAAAGATAAATGGATTTTGGCGAAAGAAGCAAGAACACGACAAAAAAATATACTTCAACAAAGAAGAGTGCAGAACGGTTAAGTTACCATAGTTTTTTTTTATTATCTAAAATCGATTTTAAGCGTATATATCACTCAGTATTATGTGAATGAACATTTTTTTCTGTTTTTAGCTTTTGTAGGTTCTATTGCAGAGGTTGACAGATTGTCATCAATGTCAAAATCTAGATCAACGTCAATAATAAATCCGCTGGGGGATGTGACAAATGGTATCTATATATTTCTTTATGATTTAATATATGACTATGCATGGCATATATTAAATCATACAAATGAAATAAATAATATAAACGAGCGGATTGACATCTTATTTTTTAATTCTTAAAAAAACAGTGTTTGCTTCGCACCAAGTGCAATCGTCAATTTGTATATCAAGGACACCGATGAACAATTATGCAACAACTTCGGCACAATTACAAATGCATAAAAGACAGAGATTCAATGATCCCTCTTCTATATCACATATCGTTGATTTCACCAAAAGTAGTATTTCTACAATCGTATCATTCATTATACTTCTAACATAGTATATTATATTTAGCTATATTTTTAACCATTTACTAAACTGAAAGTTTAACAGAGTTAAAAACAACATGCGTTCGACCCCGTGCGTTGCAGGGGTTAAATACTAGTAATATTGAATATTTGAGAATTGAAAAATCGGAATTTTAGGGGAGAGTAGAGATGAGAGAGGTAAGCGGTTTTGTGAATTTTAGGGTCCGAATGACTCATATTTACAGGGGAAAAAATTGAAATATTTGCACTAAATAGCACTAAAACTTAAGTCATTTTCCTAAATAACACTTAAATTGTTTTATTCCCTAAAAAGCACTTAATAATGTCCATAATGTCCTGTGATGGCAAATATTTACTTGAATAATGACTAATGCATAATGACTAAAAGTGCTACATTGGGAAGAAAAACACATGTGGTGCTATTTAGAGAAAGTCATTATGTTTTAGTGTTATTTAAGTAAATTCCTCGGAAAAAATTACCCTACCCGGCTACCCCCATCTCCACTCCCCTCCCCACCCACCCTCCTCAACGGCTCAATTAGCCGTTCGGGGAGCCATTTTGGCAACAGGTCTGGAAGTGGCAATCGGTAATGGTCCCAATTAAAAACCGGCACCATGTCCAGCTCTAGTGTCAGCACAAAATTCCTAAATATTATTCTATCATACTCCATAATTATTAGTAAAATTATAAAAATGAACATTTGAGACTGAAAAACAATGGTGAAGTTGATTTCGGGACGACTAGAGTACCATTTGAATGGTTTTATCCCGGAGATCTAAAGTTACAAGAGTCTTAGCACATTATTACGAAGGTAGCAAATTGGCTTCAAGACTGTTTATACAATACTAAATGGGCAGCCGCTACCAATAAAGACTATACAAGATACATGTACATAACAAGAGATATATGAATGTGTTTGGTGGTATATCCCGAAATACATTACTTGATCTCAACTGCATTCTCGACGTTTGTGGAGGGTAACTTGTCGTTTAGGCCACGACCCTTCGTCTCAAAGGGAAAAAGGATAGCACAAACGCCGGATACGAAGATGACAAACTCAAAGAGCCAAATGGCCAGTGTTTGATGGCACCCGTGTATCAGCCCAACTGCAACTATAGGACACACTATCCCTCCTATCCTTCCCACCGAGCTCGCGATTCCAAAACCTGTGCTCCTCACCGTTGTAGGATATACCTGCACCAGAATTGGAACCATTTCTCTCTACTGCATTAGACTGTCCACTCCAAAGATTGTGGAAAAAAACATAAGCAAAAGCACAATAACGTAAATCATTCTTCATTCTTTCACGTCGGAAACCTAGTTATCTACACTTCAAAAGCTGATTCCTTTTAGGGTTTCGGCACAATTTATTTTGGTTTCTAACGTGAAATATGTGAGTCACAACCAAATGGCTTTTGGTGTAATGTGCTAACACAAATTAGATGAGGGGTGAGAATGTATACCGTACACAGGTTGTACGTAGAGCTAGGTACACCCGGCAAATATTCATTTTAAATCAACAGAATGTTCATTTTGAATCAACAAAATGTTCATTCTGAAGTTTGTTCAACATGGTCTTCATTCTGAAACACATAGTGTTCATTCTAGAACATTTTTTAATTACAAGTTTACCATGATGTAACAAGAGGAAGGTACATCCGATTGTACCATATAATTTTCCATCAGGACTTCTTATAAATAATAAAACATGGTACTTTAAGAACCTTTTAACAGCTCATAGGATCGTCTATTGTGATTTTCAAACCCATATTTAGTGGGAGACGGTGCAGTGCATTGGAGAGAATATTTGTTTTTCCCAAAATGATTCTCACATACCTCTGGAGCATAAATACACACAATGTTGAAGGTTGCGGCAATGCACGTTCGAGCTCCAAACAGAAGTCCTGTTGTTAGACCTTTGGATTGAGGATGAATAAGAGGGAGGATGAAAATGCAACAGACAAAGAATAGAGATGACATGGAGTATTTACGGCCAACTCTATCGATCATTACAGCAGAGAGGATAAGCCCCGGGATCTCTTCAAGTAGTTAACCAAAGGAAAAAAAGTGGGAATCAGCTTCATTATGATGAATTTAGGATAATTTTGCTCAAGTTAGCTGATTAAAGCAGTAAAAGTTAACATACATATCATACCTGCAAAACTAGTGATGAAAACGCCGCGGTAGTTAATAGCCTTTGAATTCTTGGATTCGAACTCTGTAGGGGAGCATTTATGGTGACCACTGTTGAGTTGGGTAGTCAGGAGAACAATGCCGTAGTACGAGAACGCATTACCAAAGAAAACTACCCACAAAAGGAGAGTTGATCTGGCTAAGCTTGGTGAAAGAAGCGTGATAAGTGAAGAAAACCATCGGAAAGTGCATTCCACCAGTTTAGACTTCACACTTCCATCTCCATTCGGTGAATTATTGTCTTCTGTTGGAGCGACTTTTCGGTCAGAGAGAAGAACCCCTGGCGGCAGTCTTGCTCCGTTTATTCTTGCTATTTTTTCAAGATTATGTAAGGCTTCTGCTTGTCTCCCCTTTGTGCACAAATACCTCGGAGACTCGATAGTGAAACTGTAGAACAAAAGAAGCAAGGAGGATGGTATGGAGGAGAGTGCAAGTAGCCATCTCCAACCAAGTCTTGGCATGACTATCTGCAATAATAAGCAGAAATCTCTGCATATATATGGATTCAGCTATAAAAGAAGAAGGAGAAGAAGCAATTTTTTGTCTTCTTTCAGTGGAGTTTTGGAAGGGACTCGTTTTGATTTTTTATTAAAGCTAATATTAGGTTTGGTCTAAAAAATCAATTAAGGGTGAAAGAATACCAGCCAAATACTTTTTTCTTTAAAAGAAAAGATGAGATAATTTATCAAACTCTTTTCATCTCTAGTTTACCAGACATTAAAAAAACTAGACAGTGAAGACAAAAAAAATGGTCCTAGCAAACACTCCCTAAGAGAATCCTTGGATTTATTTACTTTGGAAAAACATTTCACATGGAAATTTCCTTGAAAATGAACCTCCTTCCTAACAAACACTCCCCGAGAGAATTCTGAATTAGCGTACCCATGCTAGTGAAGACTCAAAAATGGTGCCAATGGTCCAGAAAGCTGCAAAAACTACCATCCAAGTGCCTCTATTTGGAGCAGGAATGAACTCCAAGAACCAAGAAGAAAGGACAGGACCCCCACCCAAGCCAACCCCCACCAGACACCGAATGATGATCAACACTGTTATGTTTGGCGAAAAAGCACTTGTTAAGCCAGCCAGAGCAGTAATCACTGCTGTCACAAAAAACCCATTCCTGACAAATGAAAGAGAATGAGAAACATATGCATAACCCCCTATCGTAACAACACTTTCAGCCATTCATCAAGAACTTTTCTTTCTCACGCTTGCGTCACGCGTGCAAGGAAAAAGGATAGACAAAAAGAGAATTATAGACCAATGAGTTACCTCCTTCCGTAGTTGTCAGAAACGATTCCCCAAGTGTATGCTCCGCCCAACATTCCAACAAAAACCATACTTGTTAGCAAGGTTTCTTGATGAGGAGAGAGATTCCAAGCAAATCGAACAGCGGGTCCCACAAACGAGAGAAGCATAATTTCCATGGCTTTAGATATCCAACCCATCCCGGCATAGATGAGCACAAGAACTTGGAATTTCCCAAACCCCATAGTGACAAGCGCTTCCTCCACCGTATACCCATCCCTCTCGTCATCCATCTGCACTACAGGATTGTTGCAGTGTGAGTAGCAGTTGGTGGTCAGCAAATTTTGTAAAGATGTTCTGTTATAACTTAGCAGAATGCTAAAACTAAAACTAAATGCCGATACCAAAATTGTGTTTCTCCATATGCCCATCGTATTACCATATTCAAGTGTTCTAGTTCATTGAGCTTAGATCCGATTACAGGTATTTTGGTATACCCAGAAACAACTTTAATTTGAAAGCATTTTCTACTCAATTCGTGAAGTCATCCAGCTATTTCACATCCTACCGACCCATATACTGTTAACAGTGTGTGTGTACTCAATGTTCTCAAACCCTCAACCACACAATTAAGACGCTTATTGGGAGTAGCATATATATATATCTACAAGAATAATAATTAGCAGCAAAAAAGGATGAACAAACCTGGTAAAGATCAGACGGATTCCCCCCAGTAAAGATGAAGAAATGTGATGCAGTTGCTTGCCAAAGATCGGAGTCGATCGGCTAACTCATGCGGTTTATGGGATTTCCTTGGAATGGATTGGTAGAAGAGTTTTATAATTTGTTCATTCATTTTCAGTGGTGGGGGAACAAATGCTTTGAGCATCTCTGATGAGGAGTGTTGTTGGTAGGGGTTGAGAAGATGGCCTTAATATCCCATTTAATAGTATAACCCAATTTTAGAAAAATGAGTATTCAGTTAGTCGAGAATGATTGACAATGAATATTTAATTGCTCGAAAAATAAATATTTAATTGCTCGTAAATGAGTACCCACCCTGGATGTATGAAAAGCATCGTACAACTAGTTGTACAATATATATTGCGATTATACTATGCGTAGGACATCTACAAGTATCAATTCTAAGTTATATTTTTTGCTGCCAATTTATGTATGAATAATTAAAAATTGTTAAAATTTCAGTGGGTCTAAAAAAATGATAATAACATTAACCACTTGCAAACAAAATTGAGATTTCAAGTACATTTGAAAATGACTTATAGGTTCTATTTTCCTAAAACACAATTTTAAATGTTTGGCAATCTGCTTTATCTTATTCTGTATGAATTATGACTTTAGAAGTAGAAATTAAGGTCTAAAAGTGATTTCTAACAAAGCTAAAAATGTTTGCTTTCTACTTTTAATACTCCGTATATGATTTTTACTTTTCTATTACTCACCACACTCCCAAACATTTTTCTAATATATGTAACTGATATTCTTCTTTATCTTTTTATATGAAAGCTCTAACATATGTAATTTAGGAGATAATAATATCAATGGTTTTTTAAATACTCCCTCCGTCCGAAAATTTTCTTCCCATTTGACTTTTTACGGTCTCCAAAATTGCACTTTGACCACTAATATATTTATTTATACATAGATATATTTTGTAAAAATTTGATATTTGGAAACTATATATAAAAAGAAATATATTAATATTAAAGTTATATCGTGATATAATGTATTTTTTTAATATATCATAGTCAAAGTTTATAAACTTTGACTAAGAAAAGTCAAACGGGAAGAATACTTCGGGAGGGAGGGAGTAAAAATTTAGGTGTATAATTGCTAAAAATCTATTTTTAAAAAAACTAGAAAAATCATTTTCCGTTCAATCTTATTTTTCAGAATAATCAAACACGAGAATTTAAAACAAAAAAAACCCAGTAATCTCCTTTTCCAAACGGGTCTTAAATGGGAGTAAAAAAATGGAGTGAGGGCTATTTTTAATTTGGATGATGCTAGAGATACACCTTCCCCCACCCCCTTCGTAACCATACATTTTTATTTTATTTTTATTTACTTAATTTTTTTTTAATTTTTTTACCTTTTTTGTAGACAAGGAGGAGGTGTGGTACATTTGGACCCAGCATTTTCCTTTTAATTTTTATCCGCAGCAGTGAGGCTTGTCACACACGCTCTCTCCGCCCTGGCCACAAATCGACGCGCTCAAAGGCACGCACTTTGACACCGGGGGGCGGGTGGCTCTCCGCCTTTATTCACGGCGACTCTCACTTTGGTGCAGCCGCAAAAGCCAAAAGGTTCTCGTTTTTCTTCTTCTTCCTCTTCTCATTTCCTCTTCCCCTCTTTTTTTTTATACTAATTTCAGACAATCTTCTACCAGTCAATAGAGAAAGACGAAGAAGAAAGAAGAAAACGGAAAAAGATCTGCTTTTTAATGCTCACTCGCCTCATATCTGCAAGCTGACTCGGTAAAGAACTCGTCTTGAATTCCATCTTCTGTAGTACGGATTCTTTATGTAATTATGTTCATAGGAATGCAAAAAAAATGTTGATGCCCACAATTTATTTAGTTTTCAAGATTTTCATGTTTCAGCTTTTGCTAATTTCCCTTTCTAATTCTACTCCGTATCAGGTAAGATGGACAAAAATGTGGGCTTTTCATGTTTCATACGGAGTATATTTTACTACTATTTTGTACCTGAAGCTGAAGCATTTTAAATAATCACTCTTTTAACTCCATTGACAATGGGTAAAAATTGGGTTGAGCCTTAATTTTCAAGATTGTGTTTCATGCTACACCTTTTTCATATTTTCCTTTTTTTCATAGATCTTCTCGGAATGTGGGATTTTGAATAATTTCATTGCTGCTGTTTGAAGATAGCTGTTTGAGGTAGTCAATGAAGAGATTCTTGATGAGTGTGGTATTATAATCTGTTGGCATTGATTAAGTGGAATCAAAAGACTGCTATATACATAGAGTCTGTATATGTGGGGTTTGTGGCAATGACTGCTAATGGCCACGATTATGGTGCCCTTGTGGATCGAAAGAAGGGGAGATACCAATGCAATTATTGTGGCAAACTTATTACTGGCCACACTCGTCTCAAGTATCACTTGGGAGGTATCCGCGGAGATGTCACTCCTTGTCCAGAGGTCCCTGAAGGAGTGAAAGAGACACTGAGAGACGAGTTACTCGAGAAGAAATTCGTAAAGGCAAGGAAGGATTTCGGGGAGCTTAGCCTTCCAAACCTGCCTTTGAAGAGGCAGCGACATGAGCTTGATAAGCAAGATGTTGTCCAAAGTTCCAGAAACGGAAGATCCGTTAAACCAAAATCCGAAATGGGGTCTCTGTTTGAAAACAACTTTAAAGCTGCTGCTGCTTCAGTCTTTCCTGATGATGGACAAGTCGACTCACCGTTAGGCGAAGCCCAGAAATGTATTGGGAGGTTCTTTTATGAAACGGGAGTTGACTTTGAGATGTCAGAATCGCCTAGCTTCCTTAACATGATAAGATCCATCAACAGAACTGTGAGGATCCCCACTTGTCAACAACTGAAAGGGCAGGTCCTACAGGATGCAGTGAATGAGATGCAAGAATACACATCTGATATCAAGAGTGTATGGGCAGCTACTGGGTGCAGCATCTTGTTAGACGGGTGGGTGGATTCAAATGGCCGGAAGCTTCTTAATATCTTGATAGATTGCGCGAAGGGCACTATATATCATCAGTGCTCTGATATTTCGTCAATTGATGATGATGTGGCTGAGATGGAAGCATATTTGGGTGGTGTTATTGAGGAAGTTGGGGTTGACAATGTGGTTCAAATCGTCACATACTCATCTTCGTCTTTCATGGAGGACATAGGGAAAAGGATAAATGATAAATACAAGACAGTCTTCTGGACAGTGAGTGCATCCCATTGTATAGAACTCATGCTGAGGAAACTCGAAACCATGAAAGACCTCAAGGAAATCTTGGCAAAAGCGAAAACCATCACAGAGTTTGTTTACGACAACGAGAGTGTTCTAAAACTTGTGAGGGATTTCTGCTCAAGTGATGACCTTGTTGAGCCTTCCAAGATAAGGTCAATAGTGCCGTTCCTTACCCTTGAGAACATGGTTATGGAGGAAGAAAACTTGCAAAGGATATTTCTCTCATCCGACTGGAAGACCCTAGACTGTGCTAAAACCAGTGAAGGCCAAATGGTTGCTGACCTGGTGGGAGATAAGGCTTTCTGGGATGGGGCGTTGGTGGTTTTAAAGGCCATTATCCCCCTTGTGAAGGTTCTGAAGTTGATAAACAACAGCAATAAGCCCTTAAATGGTTATATATATGACACCATAGACCAAGCCAAAGAGACGATAAGATCACAGTTCCAGAACAAGAAATCCCAATATATGAGATTCTGGGAAGCGATAGATGAGATATGGAACAAGTACCTTCATAGCCCACTCCATGCTGCGGGGTACTTTCTGAATCCTAGCATTTTCTATTCCAGTGATTTCTTTGCCGATGCAGAAGTTTCATGTGGCCTTTGTTGCTGCATTGTCCGTATGACCGGAAATCTGAGCGCTCAGGATTTGATCATGCAGCAGATTGAGGAGTACCGGATGAGCAAGGGCCTTTTTGGCATAGGCAGTGGTGAGGCCCGGCTGCGAAATACCCATCCAGGTTTTTAAATATATTTTCTTCTCCAGTTATTATATTTTGCTTCAAGTTGGCCAAGACCTTGTGGTCGAGCGGAATAACTGTGGCTCCCCAAATGTGAAGTGACAGGTTTGAACTCTAGTGGAGGCTTTGACTCTTTGTTCTTCAATAGGTTTAGAAGTTATGTATGAACACATACTACTCCCTCTATTCCATTTTAACTTTCTATAATGATTTTTTAGATGCATTGGTAAGTGAATGAATGTAGACATAAAGTATGTCTATATTCATTTATTTTTCAATGTATCTAAAAAAATTAATGGACAGTTAATTTGGAATGGAGGGAGTACATTTTGATAGAGTTATAGTATTAAAAAAAATATTTTGCGTGGAAGTTAAATAGATGTTTTGCTCGAGTCTTTGTTTGGATTTGAGATTTTTTGAGCAAGCATTTGTGCCTCTTTGGTTAAATGTGTAGATATTGCAAAAGCCACCCGACCCGAATTGGTAGACTTGAAATCATACCCATACTTAACCCGAAAAGGCATTAACCTGAAGTGAGCCCGAACCAAAGATGACTTGAACCGAAAAAGCCTGAACCAAAAATCAAGCACCCGAAATCATCCTAACCAACAATCACCCATACCAAAAACAAACCGACCCAAAATCATCATAACCAACAGTCACCCATACTGAAAATGAACCGACCCGAATCTTGTTGTCTCAAAACCTAACCCGACCCGAACCAAGTGACCTGATTCTCAGGTTTAGTCAAATGGTCATTAAAAGTCCTTTTTTTTGTTACAGACGGGTTGAATGGATGAATTAACCATTTTACAACATTTCTGGTTTGCAGCACTTTGGTGGTCAGAGTATGGAACGCAATGTCCGGATTCTGAGTCAGACATGTGACGGCGCCTCAAAATATAACCTGAAGAGGACACTGGCAGAAGCCTTACTCACAGAAGGAAGAAATGAGACTGAACAAGTAAAGCTGAGGGATTTGGCTTTTGTTCATTACAACATGCAGTTGCAAAGTTTTAGGGAACACGCGAGCAGCAAGTTGCCCGATGAGGAGACGGGTCCCGCGGATGATGATTGGTCAGTGGTGGGAAAACGGCCTCCTAGTAGTACAGTGATTGAGAACTGTGAGGCGCAGGACTCGGATTCTGAAGATGATAATGAACCCCATCTCTAGGGTCCCCTCAGGACTGGCCAGACATTAACTGAGAAGAGGTAAATTGAACTAAAATCAACTCGGGACTTTGGAGATCCTACCTGTAATGTAACATAGCATAGCAGTAGATTATGCAAATGCAACTGACTCTATTTTGAATGTAGTGGTTTGATCCTCCATATATATTTAGTTGGAGCCTTTAAGGTGGTGTTTTGTAGTGGTAATTGTTATAATTAGAGCTTGTTCTCTTCAACTTATTCTTTCTGTCCATTAATTTTTTTCTCACTTCCCTTTTTGGGCTGTCTAATTTTTTTCGTTTCCTTTTTTGGTAAAACACTTTTAATGAACGTGTCATTATACTCCTACTTTTTATTACACTATTCACTTTATTTCATCGCATCAAGGGCAAACATGGAAAATCTTAACACTTCTTAACTTTTCTTAATTTTTGTGTCAAGTCAAACTCGGAAAGAAATTATTTGACGGAGTGAGTATTCTTTATTCTTATTAGAATCAGTTCTGATTAGAAATAGTTTTAAATATAACTACATTTAGTTCTGATTATATTATAACGTATTCCAATCAAATCAGGTGAAGAGGAGTTTTTAATCTCCTTGTTCTTGAGCACTAGGTATTGTTTATAGATGTTGGGTGATGATTTTGAATTGGCATCTTTGTTCATTCTTGTCGGGGGTGAACTACAATATATGAACTGTAGATTGAATAAAAAATTATCTGAATAGATTTGTCAAGTTTGGCTCTGGATCACAAGTTTTGGCCAATTGAATTTTCAATTTATTGATATTGTCAGTTTAGTTTCGGTTCATAGTATTTTTGAACCCAAATTCAGCTAACCAACAGCCAATCCCCTTGCTACATTTAGAGGGGGCAGGGTGGGGGACAAGTGGGGGCGAGGCAAGGGCCGGGTGGGGGTTAAAGATAGGGGTTAGGGGGTAGGAACCATCATTTTTGCAAATGGAACACGGTATGTCTTGGCAGTGGCAACGTAAGTGGCTTTGTAAGACAGCGGCTAAGAAACCGTCATGTTTACAATATTGTTCCATTTTATCCCCACACTCGTTCAATTTCAATATCAATTACAAAATGATTGAATGATTGGTGGGAAACACTCTTGCCCCCACTTAACTTGACATTTGCAAGATTGCAAAATTTGTATTCTACCAACACATTGGGCAACACACATATATGCTTTGTGTACTTTATAATGAAAGAGAAAGATGTATTGCTCTCTAGTGTTACTCCAAATTTTAACTCTTTCCTTTGTGTGCTCATACATGTGAAACTATATATGTGTAAACAAATAATGTGGGGTAAAACTAGGAGGCACTATAGCAAAATCTCATGCTACATAAGTTCACATGGATCTTTCATGGGTGTGGAGGGTCTAATAGTGTTAGTGGTTTTTCAAGGGTATGCCAATCACAATTTACTCTTGTCTCTCTCAAAACTAGAGTCATACTTCTCACATTTTTCTTTAAAGGAAAATGATACGTAACTCACAATATAATCTATCTTCTAAACAAATTTTTAAACACTACAGAGTATGTGTTTTACTTATCAATACTTTTCTCAAACTCTATAAAATTGAAGAACGATTATAATTTAAAAATAGAAAAATATACGGAATGTCTTAAAATCACTCCCCCTTTGGTCAAGTCACGAGGCATGTGTCACGTACTCACATCATTGATGGTGGTATATAAATTCGCTCATTCCTGGCGTGTGCGCATTTTGTTACGGAGTAAAAAAGAACTTTTCATTACTTCGTACTACGGAGTATAACAATAAAAAACACATAGTATAATATTACAAACAGAACCAATTTAGAGTGAAAAATACACAAATTTTACTAGGAAAAGTTGTGTACAAGAAAATCTTGGTCACCACTAACAGAGTTAGCATATACACAACTAGTCCTCATAGAGGCAACAATAATGAATATATTGGAAGCCAAAATGGACACAAGATAGAGTGTGTGCTATGGTCCATCATCTTCACCATCCCTACTAATCAAATTGCATATATCTGAGCACTCCACCAAACTGCAAAAAAAAAGTCCACACAAAAAAGACCATAACTACATAATTTCTTATTTGCTTCAAAAATACCATTTGTACCTATAGAAGGAACTGCAAATTACTACATAGTTTCTGTTAGACCCTAGAATCCCTAGATGCATTGTTGCAATACTGCCCAAAATCTCATAGAAATTGAGAAGGAAAGTTTTATTTGTCATTTTGATTTTGTCGATTATGTGTTCAAAAATAATGCATTGTCAATAATGGTTCTTTTAGCTCCATTTTTGTATATTTCTCCTCCCAGAACTTACTCTTGTCTGGTACAAAAGCAGCTAATATGAAAATGTCATCTGCTTTTGAACAAACAATCCTAATCTCTATTTCATCAAATGTACTTGTCATCTGCTTAATGCTCTTTAGCATTTAAGATGTTGAGAGGAGGTATCATAATATGACACCGATACATTTGAAGGTCATATGATGCTTCGTTCGGTTCCTAAGTGGTTTTTCCGTTTTTACCCCTAAGTCCCCAACCCGTCCTATACCCCAGCTTCCCTTTCTCCGAACACTGTAGCGCATATGGGCAAAATAGGGGAATGGGGGACGGGTACAATAGGGGTCAGGAAAAATAGGAACCGTTTCGGAATCCAACAAAGTGTTCTCGAAAGGACCGGGTGTCATAGTATGACACTAGGATTGAGTGTCAAAAGAATCCCAGACAAAAAAAAAAGAATAAGGTGGAGAATTTGCAATTTCTAATAAAGGAAGAAAAACCAGTAATGCCTGCTCCGGAACCCTTGCTTGAACACTACTAAAGGCCTGCAGATAATTAAAAAAAAACAGGGGAAAACGTATAATTATCTCACAGCATTTTGAAATTGACGGTGAAAATCAATGAATTGGAGCGATCAATTGAGATGTTTACTCGAATTTACCTTCTAACATTGAGCGGACCTTCGCCGGGAGATCCGTAGCCACCTCTGATGCAAGTGCCGACGCATTTGACGGTGCAGCCTTCCGCCTGCGCAGATCTGGGCCGTTGGATCCTGTCCCTTCTCGCCCATTCGCCGGATAGCGTCTGCGGTGGCATCTCTGTCTCGGTCTCCTTAAGCTCCGCCGCGATAGCAAAGCCTCCGAATATCACCACGGACGCCGCCAGCAAGGCTGCAGTTACCGGTTGGCCTGTAAAATTGGTTGCCGGATTAGGCGCAATCCGTGCCGGCGATCCTTTCCGCTTAGAGGCTCCTTTGAATTCGATTCCACCGGCGGCCACCAACGAGGGTGTGATTCCGTACTGAGTGAGCAGAGCGGCGGATGAGAGTATTCCGACCATATCCGCCGGAGGTTGGAGATATCAGGACAACGTTCAAACCGTATTTACCGCGAAGCGCAACCAGCCTTTCAATAGTTCATTTTATTTCCAAACAATTTACACGGTTATGCTTTTATGTATTTATGGATTTATGGTATTGAATTTAAATTTTGATTTTTTCCGCATATCAAGATAAAAAATTACTCTTTCCGTCTATTTGTTCACTTTCATTTTTATACATCATCCAATGCACTTCTTTAATCCATTTTATCTTGTAATTTGTATATTAAAAAATTATAGAAATTATATATTAATAATCTATATGTTAAGACAAATTAAACAAGATCACACATGACTATATTTAGGCTTACACATTGAGAGAATTTGATGAGTCAAAGTGTTTAGATGAACAGTTCCAAAAGTCAAAAGTGGACAAAAACGGGGAGACGGTGGGAATATAAAGTTTGAAAAGTAAAGTCAAATAAAAAAAATTCCAGACGAATTGAGGAATGTAGTAGTAGTGGATTCCATCGATTAAAAAATACATTTTTTACATTTTTATTATAACTCATTGATTCATCTTTTTATTGTTTTTCTTTTTATCTATTATGCGATTGAGACGGGATCTAAGATAATTTTGCAAACATTAAAATGCCCTATAAGCTTTAAATCCCCATTAGCATTGCAGGTAATGTAAGAAGCACGAAATATCTAATAAAGCAACTTAAAAAGAAGCATACCAAACGAAGGGAAGCCTAACATTTGCAATTTAAACATTTTGAAAAGATTATTTAATGATATCGTTTAACTTTAACATTTTTAATGACTAATTTGTACCATTATAAAATACTAATTGGAAACATTGTTCGTAAACAAGACCCTCAAAGGCCCAACAACAAGTCAAACAACAAACCAAATAAATCCCACAATACTCTCCTCTTTTAGTTATTGATTTTGTTGAAGAGGGGTAACAAAACATTCAAATAATGAGCTGACACTGACTTAAGTGACATAAGGACTACACCCAAAGACTCTAGAAGAAAAGTTCATTCGGATTCAAACCCTAGCAAAAATATTGACTCTCTTCACTTATTTCATTAGTTTGAGAAAGTATACATAAACATACACCCAGAATACTACTCTCCGTTTCACAAAATACTTCCACCCTAATTTTTTGCGCATCCCTCAAAACACTTCCACTGAACTTAAATTGTCTAAAATACACCCTCATTTTGTAGTTAATTGCGGGTAGAAGTTGATTTAAAGGTATTTTAGGCATTTTAGATGGAATAAAAGTATTTCATTGGGTGAGTAAAAAACAAGGCGAAAGTATTTTCTGAAAGGGGGAGAGTATATTGCAACATAATCAATAATATTTAAAAGAACATTCAGAAAATGTTTGGTAAGTAGCCTATCAAGCATTTTTTGGTACGCAAACAAAAAGTTATCGACAGCTCACTAAGCAAAATATTTTGGGACGGGGAGAGTAAATACTCTGTTCTTTTTTTTCCTAAGCAAATCTGAAAGGCAGTTAAAGAACAAAGAATCAGTCCATATATGTAGGGAGCCTAAAAAGTCTTGTCTAGTGTTAGAGAAACTTGACCAACCTATCTATCTAATATCAAAATCTGGAAAATACAAATCAAATTAGGACTTAAATACACCGCCGCGTTCACGTCCGGAGGGATGATGATGATATAAGAAACACAGAATATATTAAATAGACAGCCTCCACCACTGCACAACAGCTTAGAAACCTGAGTAAGAAGAAACAACACTAGTGTACAGCTTTANGGGGGGGGGGGGGGGGGGGGGCTCAGACTCTGCTCCCTATCTTCTCTTTTTTCTTCCCCACTCTAAAATTGTACTTGGGAAAGTTTGATTCATAATGCATCTTCTTCTAGCTCATCCGGTACATTCAACCTCTCAATAGCCGCCTACAAGAAAAGGATAAACAAACAAGCAATGAGTGACACTTAACGGGGGCACCATCCTACTTAAAATCGCGTTTTGGGAGTCAAACACTTCGCAGTGTTTGGCACAAAAGGAATTGTTTTTCACGAAAACAGTTTTCTTCTTATAGATCAGTTTCCGTTCGGATCTTGAGCTAGTAGTCGGTTAGGTGTCCACTCGATGCCAAGCTTCTTCAGGCAAATTATGACAAGTTGAGTACCCAAGGCAAGACCACCATAACAACTATCATGTAGTGTCAGGTTTTGGGTGACTATACTATTATAGACTCTTAAATATATGACTGGCCTAAGAATCATTTCCGGGAAGTTTACCAAGCACTCTAGTGTAATGGAAATTTTACTTTTCTTTGGGAAAACCTATTTCATGAAAAATCATTTTCCTTAAAATAAATTACTTCTAACCAAACAATGCCCTGGTAAAAACACCATGCCATAACATTCTCGCAGTTTGCATGTAAGGCAAAGGAAATAAAATTCATATAAGCTGCAGTGAAAGAGAATTATGGATCCGTATGTGTGTGTGAGAGAGAGAGAGAGTGAGTGAGAGAGAGAGAGGGCCGAGAAATGACCTTAATATTCGCAACATCTGTCGCAGATGGTTTCATATCCAAAGCTAGTCCAAAATATAGCATGGCTTTGTCGTGAATGTTATGCCTTTTGTAGATCCTACCCATCAAAGCATACACACTGCTCTCACGAGGAGCGTGCTCTTTAAGCTCCTCTAACACTTCCAAAGCCGCATCAAATTTTTCCATGCTCACAAGGATGTTAGCCTTTTCATACATCGGGAGTGGATTTTTCTTATCAGCTACAATAGCCTTCTCCATCACGTCTAATGCTTCCACATGTCTCTGTACATTGATGGATGCACATTAAATAAAGCTGGGCAATGGTGAAGAAGGGAGGGGGTAATGTTTTTTTCCAGGTCAACAGATAATCACTGACCTTCATAGCGTGTAAAGCAGTCCCTAGATATGACATGATAACAGAAGAATGTGGATTGATTTGGAGAGCCCTACGAAAGTGATGTTCAGCGAATTCAAACTTCTCTTGTCGTAAATAGACCATCCCAAGACCATACCAGGCTTTATAATGTCTGTCGTCCATCTTAAGCGCCCTCTGATAGCTACTAATACCATTCTCAAAGTCATCAACTGCAACATACCTGAGAAACAAAAAATAACAATGCAATTGTAAATATGAACTAAAGCACCTAAGACCAAACAAAACTAGCAAAAAAATTATTTTAAAATATATTGTAGTAGAATCTAACATGGAGGTGGTGACTCATGAGGAGGGGAGAGGGAAGTGCAAGAGCTATAAATTCCTCCAAACTCACCATATCACACTCCTATTTGTATTTATTTATTTATTTTATTTGGGGGGAGACTTTGGATGAGTTCTTTTTTCTGTACCTTTTACACCTTTTTAAAATCAAAATAATACTACATTGTCATTATTAAACAAAGTAACATACACAATAAATAACCTGTACCTATTTTCTAAAATACTAATTTCTCATTATCCAAATTAATATCTTAACCTCATGTCTTGATTGAACATAACATTTTTTAAAGATCTTCCTTTTTCCTCCCCTCCCCTCCCTCACTTCATTTGAACCAAAGTAAAGGGTTAGAAACTACAAGTTCTGAATAAATGTAACATCAGAAAGTGTCATGAGAAGGAAAAGATGTGAAAGATGGGAAGATTGAAGGCATACTCATGACCACAGAGAGTGTGAGCATATGCGAATCTGGAATTTAGTTGTACAGCTCGCTGCAAATTTCTAAGAGCAGTCTCGTGGTCCTTCTGCGAGCTATAACAGTTTCCCATTGCACACCTGCAGCATAAATGTACCCACTAATATACTTTGGTTTGTTTTACAAAAATACTTTTCTACTTTTTAGAAAAAGATCTTGCAAGAAATGTGAGGGTATGCAGGAATGAAGTAAAAGCATATTCCCTGAAATAGCAGTAACAGACTGCCTCAAATGATTAAATTATCTAGATTGTCTATGGACATTTACACCCATGTGGTTCAAGTCCAATGCACCCAATCCTGAGAGATAAGAATTCAAAAGCGGCAGCAGCACTTTTTCTCAGAAAAGATAAGAGACTGGAACTAATGCAGCAAAAAGCATTAGTAAAGTCAATGTTTGAATTACTGAATATCATTTAGCAAGTTCAGAAATATTACCAAGATTGAGGGGCTAATCTATCAGTTGATACCAGTTCCTGTGCCAGGTAACTTAACTTCATATCCTCCTTCAAATGCTGAAATGGAGGAAACATTAGTTTGCAATTTTTACTTTCATACATTTGAAGATCTAATAAGAAAGGGATAGGAAGAATATCAAACCGGTAACAAATTGCTGCCTCGCAAGATTACATAAATAAAATAGGTTTTTTGTTGAGTAAACTTTCTAGGTGTTCCATCCTCATGGAATGATGGAAAACTTTAAACGGTAAGTTCTTGAAAAATAAAATAAATCACACATGCGCGCACACACTGTGAGATTTTAGGCTGTGTATTGTCAGTCACCACATGTGTAATATCATGCACAATAAAACCAAAACACTCGTCCTAATAGTCAAGGTGTGAAGCATAACATTCAGAAGTTGAAGCAGTGGAGCTCACATATAACACTGTTGAATATACGTCCAATCCCTCCAAATTATAAGGTGCGGTTAAACGTGCAAGACTGAATGCACGATCTGCTTCCAGATAATCAACCATTTCAAAGTACGCTTTCCCAACCTAAAGATACAAACATATCAACAGCAGTTTATAGCATAAAATTTATGAGCAGATGCAAATGGATGAGCAGTTTTTTTAAATAGATGAGCAATTATTTGATTATATCATAATCAGTGTAACAGTGTTCAAACACAATGATACAATCATTGGTGGTTTGTCAGTCTCTCACAGTGGTTTCTGTCTAAAATGGAAATCAGGGATGGAAGAATGGTCCAAAACAATACAATACTTAGATTATCGGAGATGGAATTGGGTTCGAGATAGACTGCCTCTTGGTCAAGAAGGCAATTGAGTCTACAGGAAAACGAGTCTTATTTTCTTGCTATTATTAATGAGTGTGAAACTCATGTGCAAGATTTTACATCCTTAGATTTATCTTTTACTAGGAAATCAGCAAATCAAGTTGCTCTTGTGCTTGCTTGGGCTGGTTCTATGTTTGGTTCTTTTAAATGGGTTTGTAACCCACCTGATTTTGTAATTGATGCACTACGATCTGGTTTTAATAAAATTTGAGATTGGAATGCGTCTTCAAGAGAAAAAACTGTTGTCTTCAACCATATTTTTCCCCTCCCTCCTTTCCCTTTTTTCTTTATGAATCAAGAAGTAAAGAAAAGATCAAAAGAAGATGTAAGTAGGCCATAAACCATTACAACTTAAGGATTCCAACACTTCGTAGAGGGGGATGATGAACCCGCAAGTACACCACAACCAATGCATTTGGCATGATGTCACAAGAAAATAATGATTTTTGAGAAGTGCTTTATCAAAATGTAAAAAGATCAGCAATATTTCAACTTTTATGTCTTGCTGCCCCATATACTTCAAAAAAAGCTAAGGGTTAATTGCATTTGACTCCCCCAAGGTTAGATCAACTACCAAATCAACCACAATGTTTCTGAAAACCACAAATACATCTCGATCAAGTCATTTTTTGCATAAATGACAACAAAAGATGATAGAGTATTATGATATGAGCAGGAACCTAGTGGTCTCCAACTAATTTAGTCTTAAAATGTATACCAGATTATTTTTTTCGAAAAACCATAAACATTTTATTAGTTAAAAGTTAACATGCAAGAGAATAAATTCTTATTTGTGTTAATTTTCTAATAAAAAAAGTGAGTTTTCAATGGATTTGTTTGTAATTTCCAATAACCTCATGGACGATTTGGTAATTGACCAGCACCAACCTAGTGATGGTAAATGTAATTAACCCAAAAACCAAGCCATGCTAATTAAATGGACAGTAAAAAATTGAAGCACAGTACATTCATATCAATTTCATAACAAGGGTAGAGAAACTAAATGCAATGACAAGGGCAAAAAACTATTAAAGAATACATTTTAAAAAACTCACTTGGGAAAGTACCCATCCAGTGTTATAATGCTTGTGTGGAAGTTTGTTATACATATCCAATGCATCCTGCATAACCAGGACTCGGCAGTAAAAAATGAACCAAAGCATAATAGGGAAACAAAACAACTAAAATCTGTGTTTTAAGAAAAAAATCAATTACCCGGCATCTATACAGGCATGAAAATCGAAAGCCTTCCCCAAGAATCCTCAAAAGGGCCATTATTTCTGAGGCTCCAGAGAGAACATTTGTCCCAGTTGTGTTAATACTTGGACACCTAACAACCCCTTCATGCTCAATAGGTATACCATCTCCAGATGGGGACACAGTACGGATATTTAACTGCGAGTCATCACAGACATCCCGAACTGCAAAGGTAGAATTAGGATTACGAAAAATTTTTAACCCTTGAGATTTGCATACAATGTGTGAAAAAGACAGATTTGTCTCAAAAGTATGATGTTGAGTAAGTGTGGTGTGTATGTAGCATTTCCCTGGGATTATATAGTCTTTCAAAAAAAATAGTCTTCATGCAGCAAAGAGTGTTAATGGAAAGGAAATTTAAGCAGCGGCATTATATGAAGATTGCAATCTTTCCTATTATGCAAGAGAATAATGTGAAACATGTAAGTTACACTAAATTACACCACACCTAAAATTTTGAACTCCAAAAATTTACATACAATGTGTGAAAAAGACAAGATTTGTCTCAAAAAATAGGATTTTGTGTAAGTGTGGTGTATATGTAGAGCATTTCCTTGGGATTATATAGTCTTCACAAAGCAGCAACAACAACAACAACCCGGTTGGATCCCACGCAAGATAGTCTTCACGAAGCAAAGAGTGTTATTGGCAAGGAAAATTAAGCATTGGCATAATATAAAGATTGCAACTTTTTCTATTGTGTGAGAGAGAACAATGTGAAACATGCAAGTGCATGAATAGTATTTTTACACATAAAGCAAGGGGAACGCATTTATTTCTATCTTAGCAGACACTTTGCAATTGGCTTTCATTATGAAAGGAAGATACAAAATGAGGAAAATTCATAGTTGTGATACAGCTAAACACAAGGAAAACACATGAGATTCACCAAGTATAGAGGCTATCTTTTTCAAGGCACCAAAACCTAAAGACCCCAGGTACTTGCTTGTAGAAAGAATGTTAAAGATATAGCAAGAAGGTTATTCACTCCCTGACTTTTTTGGTTAAGGTTATTCACTTCCCACAGAAAAGGAATGTGAGTTGCAAAGATTTTTTACTTAAAAATCAACAGATTGAAAGAAGACTAATAGTACAATACAAAAATTACCCACAAGAAATACATCCAAATGGAACTGAAGCTGTTTACATGTATTAAACTTCTTTTTATCATGGCCATAACCATCAGCTGAGGTTAGTAGCAAGAAATGTTTAGTGTCAGTCTGCAAAGCACTGAAACTCCCTAACCATTTCCCCTTTTGGAAACTTGACAGTGTTTCAATACGCCAGAAACTTTGAATTTGTGTTTATGAGTTTATCTGCCATTTTTTAAATAAAAAAAATTGAGAAACCAGTTACCCCTAAAATGAAATACTTCAAAAACCACTAGTCCTTAAGTTCAAAACTCAAACATTGTGTCAGCTACAATTTCAATAGCCCGCAATTGTGCCTTTAAAGTGAAAGAGAAAATACTAAAGCAATGCAAGCAGCCCATGATTGTACCTTCATCTAAGTTATCAGTAGCCCATGACTGTGCCTTTCTAGTTGTCATAGAACGTAATGTCATTGAACTTAGCTTAGAACTACCAAGGAATTTTGATGAGTGGCTTAATCCAATCCCAGATGATGTAGATGCAGTTGAGCTAGAGTTGCTTGTGGAATCTCCAGCGAGTCTAGAGTTTCGTCGAGAGCCAGAATCTGAAAATAACCTCCCTGATATCTGAAAAGATGTGAGATCAGCATCTCAGGTCAAACAAGAAAAAGACATTTGCTGAAAACATGGAAGTGATCACCATTATTACAGTAGAAGACTAGATTTTTGGAGTAATAAATGAAATGATGGAGCAAAAATTTGTGTTCCTGGGATGTGGGAAACTTCTCAAAGCTTCTGTTTGGGATCAGATCATTTTACAAAAGATTTTTTAAATAAAAAATTTCACTGAATGATAAATATACCAAAATACATGCACAGAGACTTAAAAAATCTGCAAACCACGCCCATGTTATAACCTTTCTCAACTTTCCCTCATCAACAAACTTCCGGCGGGGGGGTTGAACAATTGAATTCACAGATGACCGTAAAGAGTTATCACCACCAGGTACGGATGGGTGAACCCCATTTTGTTGTGCATTTCTGCATATAGGGGGAGGAGCAACACCTGAAATCTGAAAACCATTGAAATGCTAAAGCAGAAAAATGCAATTTGAAGCTAATCGGTAATGGATAAAGTCATATCTCTTTAAAAATTACTAAATTTAAGAAATGTGTTGTCACTTTTTTAATAGAATGGATGAGCTATCACAACACCTGTGAAACCATTGGTGAAGGAGTATTGCAGAACACCGCACTAGCAGACCCACCAACAAAAGGCTGACTTGATACTCCGCCCACAACTAATCCATTAGAGTTTCCAGTAATTTCACGAGAGTTATTGATGTGTATGTTTCGCAACTGCCTTGGGCTTGCATCTTCAGAGGCAAAACTTCTGTTAGAAGCTAAAATATGGTCATCGATTGATGTTGACAGAGTTTGAAATTGACTTCCATGATATGCATGTTGATTTTGAACACAAAGAGATGATGCTTCACCAAACACTGAAGCTGCTTCTTCAGCAGTGCCTGAAATATATTTTTTGCATGATTACTAATAAGTGGAAACAATTACTAAAGATATCAGAAATCAATGAAATAATGATATGGATATCTATGACAGTCCTCAATCAGAAAAAATATTCTAAAATCTAAACACAGAAAATTTACTACCAACTCAGTATAACATCTAAAATAAAATTAAAATAGAACCTCAACACTTAACATGAAAGTTTTGAGAACAGGTCACTTTATTAAAAACACATGGTGCCTTTCCTTGCTTAAAATATGAAGTCACACTACCAAATTCACCAAATAACAAGAAAAACTTAGTTTTGATCAATGTGTGTGTGTGTATCTAAGCCAAAGATTCACTATTTTTTGGCTTTGGGTATGATGGAATAAAGCAAAGCAAACAGGCTCTTTTATTGTAAACCCACACCACGCATCTACTGCCACACAACCATTACAGTATCAATTCAAAATCAACACCCAAAGATGGGACAAACATTAGCTTTACCTAGGGTTTGAATCATCTAAGAACAATGTCTTGGTTTTTTTGAATTTCCACATCACAAACCATTGAAGGCTGAAGACTGAATTGTTATTTGATATTTACAAAATTTGCATTAGAGCTAGAGTTTGCCCAAGGAACACTTAGGAAGAATGTCAATATACATTGCCTACAAACCTAGTATACACAATTCCTCATAGGCAGCCCATAGTAGTGGATCCAACAATAGGGCCTTCTTGAAGTGGAGAACAGCACTCTTTTTCCTGTCTGTATACCTGAAACGATTACTCTCTTATAGTTAGAAGCAGTAAGGAAAGTATCCAGGCAGACACTATTCATCTTCAGTGGGTCATCAATCACAATACATGAAAGTTGAACCAATCTCACAAATAAGGATACTTGAACAACTTAAGTACTTTCAAAGATCTTAGGATTGTCAGGAAAGCTCTGTGAAGGAAAATTGTCAGAACTAAAAAAAATTTGATAGAGATGTAATCAAACTGAGAGTAAGCTGCAACAGCAGAAGTTTTTTTTGAGAGTGGAGGAGAGAGATCAGTATTTCATGCACAATCTTGGTGGAAATAGTAGTGTCCAGCAATTTTTTGGCTTTTCAGGATGTACTATGAACCGAGCAAAGTTTCAAACCAAGTAATACTATTCACCTCTTGTTTTACTTAGAAGCTGCAAATATGGTCCTTCAACCAATTAAGTTCTGCTAACAAAAACGAAAAGAATGTCCATTTTACTTGAAACCAGGAGTCACATAAAATTACTTAAGAGTAAAGAGTCAGCCAAAAGTTTATTACGAATCTATGTATTGAAATTTGCAACAAGACAACAAGCATCATGATTTTGGGTGCATGCCTCATGATCAATAATAAAATTCATGTGCTTAAAGAGATATAGATTCCATTGAAATGAAGCAGGGTTGATATCGTAATGTAGCTATTGAAAATATCATCAAATAAGTCAACTATTTAATTGGATGTAAGCACATGAACGTTTATTGAAACCTGTAAATAAGGCCAAGAAGGTAATGACCGGAAGCACCATTTGGAACCTGCGAGTAAAAAGCCAAACGTGACCAAATCGCCCCTCAGTATAAGCAAGGGTAAACATAAACTTCTTAGGTTGTGTTGCTTATGGGTAAGATTTGGAAAATATTTATATAATGATGCTGTGAATATAAAAGTTGTAATGGTTATGTTACTTGAGTATAAGATTCAGCAAATAAATATACAGAGATGCTGTGAATATTAAAGTTGTGATGTACCTCTAAAGTTGGATCATTAGTATGGGATAATGTCATTTCTGCTTCATTTAGAAGATCCATCTGAAAGCATGATAGTGCAAATAAGTAGCGTGATTGAGCCATGTGTGTTCCTTCATGCAATAATATAAAGACAAATGAACGCCATTATTAGCTTCATGTCCATAAATCATATATATATATATATATATTTACACCCTTAATAAACACAAATTTGTTGCAACTCACAATAAGTTAAATTCAGTTCATATAACAACAAGAATTCAATGTACATACCTTTGAGAATATGGTATGCAGCATAGGCTTGATTATTTTGCAAGTAGCAAGTAGCTAGCAATTGCATATTTGTCTGCATTTGGCAAATCATGTTACTATAAATTTAAGAAAGTCCTGAGAGCAACTCAATGCTAGTTCATTTTTATGTTATGCACATTTTCTACACGGTATTCATTTGAAACTGCAAACCAGAGATCAACAGTAAATGGGCAACCGGACACAGAGTACTCAGCTTATGTCACTCGAATAGAACGGTACTCAATCGCTCAACCTTGACTTGCTTCCCTCTAAACTATTTTTGTATCCTCAAAAGACGGCATTGTGTAATTGCCATTGGGTAAGAAATTACTATACATTGTGCTTTATTTTTCAAGTGTATTTAATCATATCCACTTATACAAAACATCCTATCTTCTGGCATTTCAATTTCTTTCCTGCTAGTTCTTCCCTGTCAGATTCTTAACATTGCAACATGATATTAAATATAATGATTCTAAACATTGAAGCTCAAGTTTCCAGCTCCACCTAACAATAATGAGTCGGTGAAGTAATCCAGCTAAGCTAAACAAATTATGATCTCATTTGGAGAGAACATCACAAATCCCAAATTTACTTGTGGAAACCAATCAACTGAATTCAATCATAAAAAGAAAGAACATGAGGATTGAATGGAGAACCCTAATCTATTTTCCATGAATTTTTGCATTCAAGGCACATTAACACTTTTACTGCAACTAGAATGATTCAAGTAATATCCAAAAAAATGTTTGAGCGCCATGCCTGCAGCCTACCTCGGATGGGAATTCCGCGCAGAGTCGTTCGCACATGAAGATGGCGTTGCGGTGCATGAAGTGGCGCAGGCTGTTTTGCACGCAATCTACTAGTATGGCTTCCATGGCGAGGAGATGAAGCTCTGTTCTTAACTTATGACCAAATTGCCACTGGAAGATTCCTGTGACTCTACATAAATGGAGGAGGGAGAAGGGGGGCGAGAGATTCAATTTTCAAACAGATTGAGGGTCTACTGGATGGCGTCGCATCTCTTAATTTTAATTTTTCAGGTTCTGGTTGAGCATAAAAAAAACAAGGAGCAGCAAATTTATTTGAGTGTTTTTTTCTTTTTGAAGAAGCAAATTTGAGTGTATAGACAATTAGGCTCCTTTTTTATCTGATCTGATTCTAATAATCTGATTTGATTGGATCTGATCTGGTCTGATCTGATTAATTATGATTTAATTTAAAATTTCAAATCAATAATTTAATTTGACTTTATAATAACGTTTGAAAATTATAATGATAATTCATATTATAATATAATCAATATTTTTTATTTAATGATTATTTTTTAATAAAATAAAAATAGTTAATTCATATATTAGAATAATCATTCATATTATAATGTAATAATATTTTTTATTTTTTGATTATTTTTTGTAAAATTAGAATTATACATTAGGATAAATATTTAATTTAGATATACATTAAAAAGTAATTAAATTTAGATAATCAATATATAGAAGAGATAGTATTTTTATTAAAATATCTCATCCTTATAAAAGATCAAAAGTTTAGAAACTCAAATTACAAGTAGCAATAAAAATATATTTTAAAAGTAGAATTAGATTGACATTGTCAATGTAACACCCTAATCCGTCCAGGTCTGCAGCCCCTTTCAGACTAAAGTATTAACTTGGCAATCGTAAAATTTAAAAACTTTTCAAACACTTTTATTTATCACAATAATATTTTTTTATAACATATACAGTACGGAGTATTCAACAATATTGCGGAAGCTTAACAAATCATAATCACAATCATAATTAAAATCATCACATCCATTCCGACAATCTCGCCTCCGTCTGCCTCCAGGATCACGTCACATCATTCTTTCTATTAACCTACGTGTAGCAAATAAAACATACTACCCGCTCAGCGGTAAAGCTGAGTAAGCATATCTAATGCGTCGAACATCCATATAAACAGAATCTCAATTCATAATCAAATCATTTGATATCATGCACATAATGTTTAGTTCAGATATTCAATAATCAATATTAAATTTTCAACATTCATTATTCAATCATTCAACATGTATATTCATCATTCATATTCAAAATTTTTATTCAACATTCGTCATACAATATTCATCATTTGTTGATGGGAAATAATACGTGGCTCGGCCCATATTTCCCAATTATTTACGAAAAATAGTCAAACCGGGCCTGTTAAATAAAATGGAGGAATATTAGAATATTCCTCCGTAAATGCTCCAACTACTCCTATAAAAGGAGGGGTGCCCTTAATGTGAAGGGGAGGCCAATTCATCCCTTCTCCCTGTCCAATTCCTCTCTCTCTAGGATATTCTTGTAATTTATTCTTTCAATGAGCTTGAAGCTCCACACTTTCTCCATTAATGGCTTCCGGGCCCAATTCTTGTACCGTGTACAACCCCCGATATTAATAAAAATCCCTCGTTGGCAAGGTACCGCCAAAAAAGGCTCGTGGTTTTCTCCCGATTTGGGTTTCCACGTCAAAATTCTCGTGTTTATATTTTGGTATATTTTTTAGACTAGTTTATCGTTTTTGCCCGGCTAAAAACGATACACCGGTCGATAATTTACACCATCATTTTGGCGCCGACCGTGGGACCCGAACAAAAAGTTGTGTTTTTTGTTCGGCCATTTTTTTCTCTTACCACACAAAGTGGGCAAAATAAAAAAAAGGAGAGAGCCATAGAGAGATTCTAATGTAAAAAAGAAACAGAGATTTTGTTCACGTAGCATTCCTCTCCCCATCACTGTCGTTCTTCAAGTTGTCCACTAAGCTGCTGGAAATCCACGCACCATCACTGGTGCTGAACCTGTTCTGGTTGTGGTCGTCGCTAGTCTTGAAATCCACCGCCACACCGAAGAAGCAGGGGGGAGAGGAGCGGTTAGGCCGCCGTCCACATCTAGCGCCGGGAGCTGAAGTCGTCATCACCGCTAAGGAAATCAATCGCCCCGACTGCCTATGAAATCTGCCACCCGAAATGGATCCAACCAACCCTCAATTGAAATCAACTTCATCGTGGGAAGAGATTACTCATCATTTCGACGGAGATTTATCATCGCCTCTAGCGGGATATCCATGCACCCACACTCCCATTGAGGTCCACCGCCGTTGACGCAGCTGGTGCCGCCGCCGCTGGTCTTGAGACTTGCTGCCGCCTACGAACCGCGTTGAGAGAGGCGGATCTAGATGTTGTAGTAGAAATCAACTACTGCCACTGCCCACTGTTGCGTCCGCTGCAGTTGTGGACCGCTGCGACGACGTGGTATCCAAATCACTGAAACCACCGCTATTATTGACGTGAGAAGAGAAGATGGCTCCGTTGCAGCCACAATACCATTGCCATGGGTATGCGGTACAGATCAAATCTATCATCACTCTTATTTGCTGCCGCCCGAATTTAGATCTATTGGACCAATCGTCGCTCGATTGCATTGACGTCGCCTCTAAAATCGCCACCAAATCCAGTGAATTCAGTCGCAGTCATCGCAGAAGCCAGCCACTTCCGTTTCTGCTGCTCGAACCTGCATCTTGAAGATCATTGCTACATTCATCGTCCATGTCGCTATTTCTAAAGATCCATCTGCCCATGCAGGGATGGTCTGCCTGTTTGCTTATATCCCCACGCATCTCCCTTGGAAGGGAGGAAGATGACAACATGAAGCTTAATTAATGGAGGATCATATGCGAGTACAAAAAAGGAGACATTCACTTTGGTCCAAAAGCTATGCGTGGTGATTCCCTTAATTATTCCCTATTGGGACCCACTATACTTGATAAAAGATAGCAATTATTTGTGGAGACAAAGCACTGGAGGAAACTTATGTGAGGTGGCCTACCCATATATTTCCAGGAACTTCAGGGATTGAGATGAAGATAATGCACCAAGGCATTACTGCCATTTCAAAAAAAACAATGCTCCTCACATTTGAAAAAGTGGCTACGGTTCTTTGGGCATTTGTAGACGGAAGGCGCTCAGTGGGTCTAGCACTAGTTACTACACCGGTCTTGCTCAATACTTTACAAAGAAAAGAAGGAAGACTGAGACACAAGCCGAGCTTGGTACGCTGGTTACGACACCGGTCTTGCTCAATATTAAAAAAAGAGGAAGACTGAGACACAGGCCTGGCCTGGCACGCTGGTTACTACACCGGTCTTGCTCAGTATAATAAAAAAATATTAAAATATGTGACACAGGCCCGGCCTGGCACGCTGGTAAATATCATTCTTGTGCGCGAGACAGGCAAAGAATGATATACACACCGGTCTTGCACATATTTTCTCGTAAGTCTGAACCCAATCGAATTGGGTACACCGGTGTCTCAGCTGAGCTTTTATCGGGGACGCCCGATTCTTCAAGCCTTTTGAATAAGGCACTCCAGAAGTGGTCTCTGCATGACGTGAAGATATTTGCATCAGTTAGCCGGGCTAACATCGATCTTCTACAAAGTTGCTGCAACATACTTAATTCGTATTAAGTAACATCGATTACTTCGATATACTAATTTCACTATGTATCGTTTACTTAATCCGTACTGACATCGGTCTCGACGAAGTAACTACTTGAAGCACCTCCGCTTCATCGTACTAACTCCGGTGTCGTATAACTATTCGAAGCATCGTTGCTTTATCGAACTGACATCGCTCTTGTTACGATAATTATTCACGTGAATTTTAATCAACTAACACCGAGGTTCTCGGTAAACATAATAAGTTTTTTAGCACGGCATAGGCCGGTCAAAAAAAGAATGTTGTACATATTATTTTTGCAGGAAAAACTTCTGATTCAAGAAATTAGAGAATTAATGAAGGCTCGGAGGACTAGCAATAATATCAACCGGTCAAGAATCTAAAGTACGAAGACTGAAGATATCACTCAGAGGACTTATTTACTTTTTTAAATTGATGATTGGAGGACTTCTTGATGGGAAATAATACGTGGCTCGCTCACATTTCCCAATTATTTACGAAAAACAATCAAACCGGGCCTGTTAAATAAAACGGAGGAATATTAGAATATTCCTCCGTAAATGCTCCAACTACTCCTATAAAAGGAGGGGTTCCCTTAATGTGAAGGGGAGGCCAATTCATCCCTTCTCCCTGCCCAATTCCTCTCTCTCTAGGATATTCTTGTAATTTATTCTTTCAATGAGCTTGAAGCTCCACACTTTCTCCATTAATGGTTTCCGAGCCCAATTCTTGTACCGTGTACAACTCCTGATATTAATAAAAATCCCCCGTTGGCAAGGTACCGCCAAAAAAGGCCCGTGGTTTTCTCCCGATTTGGGTTTCCACGTCAAAATTCTCGTGTTTATATTTTGGTATATTTTTTAGACTAGTTTATCGTTTTTTCCCGGCTAAAAACGATACACCGGTCGATAATTTACACCATCATTTTTCATTCAACAATATTCTTAAACTATTCTTAGTCTAAGGCCAATATGTCTTATGTTTACCAACTCTTAAACGAATTCCAGTTTAATATAGATAAACTATATTCCAGTTTAAGGTACACTTAACTAACTTTTAAGCTAGGCCTAGTTTAAGATACAAATTTTCAAAAAGAGGTTTTTAAAATCTTAAACTTACCTTCGCTCAAGGTCATCCAAAAACCGAACAACGGAATGCTCACTGTCGGGTTGGGTGGTATCCCCAAACGAGTTCCTCTAGTTTGGTTTGTAGATCCCGTACGTACGTTTTAACCTAGGCCACCGAATATTAATAATTATACCCGAAAGGCCTATTTCTAAGCTATCTTAGAGGTCTTCTAGATAGTCTTAGAAACCAATGTCAACCTAGGTATATCTTAGAATTCTTCTAGATATCCTTACAATCCAAATCATTTCATAATCATCAACATATTCATTTCAACTCATAATTTAATCCTCAATAATCATTGGTTTCATCAAGTCGTAATCATCATAATAATCATTCACCATAATAATCAATCAACATAACATTCGATAACAAATAGCGGCCTAGCTTCGAGTGTTAACACCCGAACTTACCGTCATGCATCATATAACATTTTTACTTGTCAAAAACATCATTTTTATTGTGGTAAATCATTTTTATAATGATCATAATTAGGGGTAGACACGGTACGGTTCCGGTACCGCCACCCCATGTCACCGGAACCGTCACCGTGCCGGCCGGTACCGGTTCCGGTTCCCGGACCGGCGGTTCCGGTACTGGACCGGCCAGTTTCGCCCCCCCCCCCCTATTTATTTTTTTTTTGCTTTTTTTAAAATTTTTTAAGTATAAAATTGTAAATTTGCAATTGTTTAAGGAAAGAATGAAGTACCAGAATGTAGTTGTTATCTAAAAATGTAGTTGTTATTTAAATATTTTAAATGAATAATACACTAACTGAAGAACAACCACATTTAATATCCTGACGGTTCAAAAAAAGCGACGAGGTAAAGAACCGTAAAGAAACCCTCGAAGGAGCTTATATATCGCTCAGCTAAAAAAAACTAATTACATATTTACATTAACAAAAAAAATTATAACTTATTCTTCAGAACTCGGACTTCCATCTGTTGTTGCATTCATGTAATGCTCCGATTCGAGTTGGTACGTTGACTCTTGAGCTCGACGTCTTGCCAAGAGCCAATCTTGGTTGCAAACAAGTGTTTCAAGAGATTCAGCGCTAAGACAACTTCGAAAGTCGGTTAGAATGTTGCCGCCAGCACTGAATTCTCGTTCAACTGCTACGGTTGATACCGGAACGGATAACACTTGTCTTGCTAGCATGCCGAGACATGGGAACATGTGTTCGTTCCGCTTC